CACAACGTTTTATTATAATAATGTTCTCATTAGAATGTTATATACACGACATTCCCAATCATAGTTATTAATTTTGTGCACTGCTGTTTGAGTTTATCACCGGTAAACTGAAGCGCTCTTTTAACTTAACCAAACGCATTCTATATGAGATAAATCAGATATACATCAAATAAACACAATATTACAACGTACAATTGCACAAAAGGCTGCAAACGAACAGCGCGCATCTGAAGTGTCTCTGAAGGAAATAATGCATTATTTATCGGCTTTAAGATATCGGCCAAATTTTCTTATCGGGCCGATACCGATAACAGAAAAATTGAGCATTTATCGTCCGATACCGATATGGTGGCCGATATATCGTGCATCCCTATGATATAAAGCCACAATTTCAAGAAATTTCACAGTTCCTGCGATATAGTTATCTGTGAAAAATATTGGAGTTCTGAGATATGAAGTCACAATTACGAGATGCTTTTGTGTGAATGCTGACTACTTTCAAATTATGACAGAATTTGCCGTTTCTTGATACATTGGTAAAGACCTCATTTTCCTTTCAGATACAGGTTATATCAAATAATTCTTGAGGTGTCCTTGAGGGGAAACTCATCCATCTTTTTAAAAATTCTAGAACCTTCTGTCCTGAAGGCAGTTCTGGAGTTCTTCCCTCAGAATGACAGTACTGAATGACAGGATTAGTATTTTCACAGCAGCTCTCACCTTATGCTCTGGACCACACGCAGACATGTATATCAAGGAGTAGTCTAAGCCTGTTAAGTTGAACTACACACTTGGTGTCTTTCACAAAGGTCAAGTTTGTTGTGATACTCTGACCTCAATGTCAACTACCATGTGTGATGTAACCTGCTGAAAGTGCAGAGTCACTGTCATTGTATTGTTAGACATTTTGCGGCCACACCAATATGAGACGGTGCACTATAAATATATAAAATGTAACCAGTTTTATTAATGCTGTTCCCTAGATGCTTAAGGTGGTTTCCAATCACAGTCCACAGTGCACAGAGATAACACATAGGAGGTCTTATCATAACCTACACATGGAACTAGACATTTGTATATGAAAATTCTGCTAAGCAGACTAATCTAAGCAGCTAAGCTGGTCGAGCAAGGACATTTTGCAGTTAAGCTAGTTCAAAACTGGGAGACATCAGTTCAGCAGCATCCCATGCTGAAGATCAGCATCCAAAACACTACGAATGATGAATGCCAGCTTGTATTTTCAGTGGGTAATGCATCAGACTGCAGATGTTTCATGTAGTTTCCTATACACTTTTAAACATTTTGAACCTGAGGCAAAATAAAAGCATTCCAAATGTATTGCTGTATTCCTGCAAGCTTTGTAGTGATTTAAAAGTGATTACTGGTTTCCTCTTAAAGGGACAGTTGACCCAAAAATTAAAAATCTGTCATTATTTACTTATTCCAAACTTGTTTGACTGATTTTCTTCCATAGAACACAAAAGGAGATGTTAAGCAGAATGTTTACTCTGCTCTTTTCCACAAATTGAAAGTGACCAGAAAAACAGCACCATATAAGCATATTAACTGTTTATATTTTCTTAAAACATACAACACCCTTGTTTGAGGAAAAGAGTACAATTTATGTTGCCATTCTAAAGTTTGGGATTGGTAAGAAGTTTTAATAGTTTTAATGGTCTCTTACGCTCACAAAGACTGCATTTGTTTGTTTTAAATAGTTATATTGTGAAATATTATTGCAATTTAAAAGAGTGGTTGTCTGTTTTTAATATATTTTCAAATGTAATATATTCCTGTGATGGCAAAGCTGAATTTTCAACAGCCATTACTCCAGTCTTCAGTCTCACATGTTCAAAAGTTCTTCAAAAGAACACTGTTTATTTGATATAGAAATATTTTGTAACATTATAAAAGCATGCATTATAAAACTTTTGATCAATTAAATGTGCCCTTGCTGAATAAAAGTATTGATTTCTTTAAAAAAAATAAAAAAAATATTACCGACCCCAAACGTTTGAACGGTAGTATAAATTAATCTGTAACTCAATTTATATGTGCATATTCGAATGTGTTTCAATTAGTTTGTGGGACCTTGGCAGCCTGAGGTTACTATCCACCTTCATGATATGGAGAAAATGTCTGTCAAGCATCTCTTTATGTGTTCCACAGAAGAAAGAAAACCATCCAGGTCTGGAACAACATGTAAAAGATGACACAATTATCATTTGGAGCTTAACTATTCCTTATTATTGTACAGACGATTCCTCTGTTGAATTTAATTACATGACACCCTGAGAGGAATAAACTTCTTGGTAGAACTTCACTGTGCACTACCGAACTTTCTTAACCTTAAACAATTCTCTTTTATTTGAATAATACCTGTTTCTATCTAAGTGCTATTCATTTCTTAACTGCCGCTCAGCAGGCCTGCACAGCCATATCTGACAGGATAAATGTGTTGTATTATACAGGTGATTTTCAGCGAAGATTCAGTGATTACATTGACTCTACTAACAGAATAGATCAAAACGATTATTCTGAATGTGTGTATATGCATATGTATGACGATACAGATCTCTGTCTTCCTCTCTTTTACAGATAAAAGAGAGAGTGCGTAGCAGCTAAATAAAGCAGAGAACAAGCCCGTCTCAGGACATCAGTCCAAAGAAGAGGATCTACCGGCAAAGAGATAAGAGGGGGAGGACAGGGAACAAAAGAGAGAGTTGGAGGACAAGAGAGAGAGAGAGAAAATGGGATATTGCGGCATGTGGATCTTCCTCTTGTCCCTGTCTCTCTTCTTACAAAGCGTCACTGCAGAGGCTGAAGGTAGACTGCTGACTCACACTTTATCTACATGCGATAGGGCCTCTTCAGTCCCCAGTGAACTGCCAATATCCCACCCTTCAATCAATCACAGTCTGAAAAGGTTGCAGGCAGGGTCCAAAATGAACAAGCACTAAATGCGGGTAGAATTTGGTGAGCAACTAAAATTGAGTTAATCTCGGTATACACAATGATATACAACCTTTTGTGTTTGGATGCGAGTTAAAAAGAAGGAAAACTTCGAAAAGGAAACATTATATGTAAATGAGGTAAATTCCTTCATTATTTTTTTTAGTTGTTGATTTGACTAGCTAGCATTAGAAAAGAGAAGTTTTTTTTAATGCGTAGCGATTTCTTTACTTTATACTCGAGGATTTTATATACATAATTTTTAAAATGATATATTGGCAAGTTAATATGCTAGATCCTATGTAATAATACTATGTTCCTGTGGCTCAGTGGTAGAGCATTGCGTTAGCAGCGCAAAAATTCGTGGGTTTGATTCCCAGGGAACACACACACTGGTAATGTATAGCCTGAATGCACTGTAAGTCGCTTTGGATAAAAGCATCTGCTAAATGCATGTTATTATTATTCATTATTAATTAATTAATTAATTAGATCCTAGTTAATAAGTTGGACCGGACAAATATGTATGCTGATGCATAACTAATCAGTTATTAAAGTGAGACTACAAAAACACTTGACTTTAATTTATTATTTTATTTTATTAGTTGAATAATTAATTAAGAATTTTGTCAATTAAAATAATTTATTTTATTATATTTTTATAATTTGTTTTATTATATTAATAAATGATATATTGGCAAGTTAATATGCTAGATCCTATGTAATAATACTATGTTCCTGTGGCTCAGTGGTAGAGCATTGCGTTAGCAGCGCAAAAATTCGTGGGTTTGATTCCCAGGGAACACACACACTGGTAATGTATAGCCTGAATGCACTGTAAGTCGCTTTGGATAAAAGCATCTGCTAAATGCATGTTATTATTATTCATTATTAATTAATTAATTAATTAGATCCTAGTTAATAAGTTGGACCGGACAAATATGTATGCTGATGCATAACTAATCAGTTATTAAAGTGAGACTACAAAAACACTTGACTTTAATTTATTATTTTATTTTATTAGTTGAATAATTAATTAAGAATTTTGTCAATTAAAATAATTTATTTTATTATATTTTTATAATTTGTTTTATTATATTAAATATATAAATAGTTGAATAATTTACTGAATAATCAATTACTTCAGTGGCAGTGCTTTTTGTCTGTTCAATCTTTTATTTTATTTTATTAGTTAAATAATCCTTAATCAGCTTTTTGTCTATTCAGTTTTATTTTATTTTATTAGTTGAATAATTAGTTACTTTCGTGTCAGTGCTTGTCTATTCAAATTTTCATTTATTTTTTAAAACTCCTGTTACTCTGTACTATTTTTGGTCTGGAAAAAGCCCACAAAAATATACATTTCTTTGAACCACAAACCCTTAAAATTTCTTATGTTGTGTGAAGTTTAACAATAGGGAAGTCCACCTTCAGTCATGTCTGTGTATGTCAGTTCTCGTCTGTCTGCACACCTGAAGAGGCTGTGCAGGTGAAGTTGAAATGAACACAGGGTTCTTTCCACATGTGTCCTGCTGAATCGGCAGGTTCTGCTGCAGGCCATCTGCATACCTCCTGTAGCTTGATACCTCTGGTTTGAGCCTTTTCAGATAAATCACTGTATCCCTCTCTGATTTCCATCACCCCTTAACTGTCTGCATAGAAATCTGTGTGTGTGTGTGTGTTTATGTTTCACCTTGAGCTGTGTGTGTGAGGGAGAGAGAGAGAGACAAAGTGGGAAAGAGCGAGAATGTGAAACATACTGAATTCACGCAGGATGGTTTTAGAGGAGTCTGTCAGGACCAATTACTGACTGAGGCTCTAATACCCTGAAACACTGTAATTTCCCACATCTCTTCAAAATGGCTGTTTGCAGTGACAGACACTTGACTATGAAATGGAAAGAATGTACTTTCTGAGGTCACGTCCTTGTTCTCTTTCAGTATCGCACATGCTTTATGTTGAAATCTGGTTAAATGCAAAAGTGCGAGCATCTAACCCCGGTAATCAGCCCTTATAACTGTAAATACACCGGCAGTCATTTTTCATTGCTGTCAGGGCCTTGTTGTCATGGTAATGGTTGCCAGTCTGTTACAGTTGCTTTAAAATGAAGTAAATGTTTGCTTAATAACCTTATTTCTTCACTGACTTTATGAGTCAGCACTGAACGGAGCTCTTTTACGTTGTATCATGTTAAACCACATCATCTTCTCAGGCTGATTATTTTAATCTAGCAGGAGATCATTTTAGTGTAATCCTCTACACACAACTGCACGGTCTGCAAGCTGCGACTGAGATGTATCTAGAAAGTCAAACTGGAGATGATCTGTTTATTGTGCTGTATGCGATGAAGAGTCTGTCTGGACGTGGCAGTGCTGTATTGTGGCTCTTTTGTGGGTTGAAGTTATCACTGTCAGTGCTGAATTTGCAAAAATAATGACCATTTCAAACAGGTTTCGCTTACACTAAGATTGAATATAAACACTAAGAAAATACACAGCTCAAAAAAGTAAAGGAACATTTCGCCATCACAGTATAATGCCAATGCTGCGTACAACATCGCTGATTCAACTGCAGGCGCCATCTTCTGGTGAGGCATGGGAATTCTTTCAGCATGGCCCTCACATACTGCTTTTCCACCAGGGCTGGTGCCGGAGCCAGAGCCCAATTGGGAACCGGGCTGCACTTTTCCACTCTAAAAAATCCTGGGCCTATGACATCAGTAGGCAGTGCTTCCACTACAGACCGCAGTTTGAAAGGCGCCATTTTTAAATGTCGTGGTACAGGTAATCTAACAACATTAACACAACAATTAAATATGTCAATTCAGTAGTAGTTGGCAGAACAGATCAACACTCTACTTCCGCAAGATATAACAAGTGATTTCGGTCACATGTTGGTGTAGAGGGTTCTGCTCCCTGCCAGTGGAAACGCGAGCCGGTTCTGAACGAGAGCCACTCTTGGCCGAGCACTGGCACCAGCCCCAATTGAAAAGCATTAACAGTGATCTATGGGTATTTTCCAGCAGTTGAATGCACATTGGTTGTTCACTCGTTATTGCGGTGCATTATGGGATTCGTCTATTATAGTTTCGTACACCACTACAAATGGCTGTCCCCGCAAATAGTGCCTGATTTAAGGGAAAAGTGGGTGATTTCGGACACAACCCAAGTCATTTAAACTTCAGGGATGTCAGTCTGTCCAGTTAGGAAGCTTACGTTATTGTGAAACAGTTTCACCTGCTTTGGTGCAAATGAAAGTGACAACAGATGCACTGGAGAGGCAATAGCGGGACCTGTGCTCACAACACAGGACCATGCAGCTCGATTGGCATTTGCCAGTGAACACCAAAACTGGTAGGTCCACCACTGGCACCCCATTTTCTTCACAAATAAGAGCAGGTTCGCACTGAGCATGTGACAGACGTGAAAGAGTCTGGACATGCTATGGCGAATGCTATGCTGCCAGCAACACCATCCAGCAGGACCGTTTTGGCAGTGTGTTAGGGATGGTCTGGGGAGGAATATCCTTGGAGGGTCTCACAGACCTCCACTTGCTAGCCAACGGTGTCTTTACTGCTGTTAGGTACCGGGATGAAATCCTCAGATCTTACACTGTTGCAGTGGGCCCTGGGTTCCTCCTGGTGCATGACGATGCCCAGCCTCATGTGGCCAGAGTGTGTAGGTAGTTTCTGGATTAAAGTTTGCTTTTGATGAACTTCCCTATTGCATAAAAGTAGTTTTCTCTCTTAGAATGCTGTATATGAGTGATAAATCACTAAAGCCTGCAGTGTTTGTTCCCTTCTGATGTGGGTGGAACAGATTTTCCCAACTCTGTGCAGCAACTTTTCCGGAGATGAGAACTTTTTACGTAGTTCCTGCCAGATGATCAATAACGTTGTGCTGTTTAATGCATATACTTTTGTTTCCAGAGCTCAACTGTGTTCTAATTGTATAATAGCATCTGTCATCTTGTGGTTGTTGGGGGGGAAAAAAGAACATTTCAAGGCATTCTTCTGTGAGCGAGTTAGAGGCGTTAAAAAAAAAAAGCTTGGGATGTACTTGTGTCCTTCGGTTTTGTCTATCTTCTCTGATCTTTGTCCTCTACTATTAAGTCTAATCCAGTACTGATTAGCTCCTGCCTAAAAAAGCTTGTCTTTGAAGAGTTATCTGATTCAGAGGACATCTGCAGTCCACTTAGTGTTGGCCATCACAAGCTTCACAGTGATTGTGCAATCACCTCACAACCAAGGCCACATTTGCAGCAATCAAAGACAGAAATAAATGAATATTTGGATGTAGTGTAAGGATGTGCACTACCAAAAAAGAAGCATCCTGAAATTGTAGGTCATATGAAACTATAACACAAGCACTGGATGACTGGATCAGGACTTATTCTGAGTCTGCAGCTGCTTTTCCTGTTTAATGTGAATTAAAGTGCAGGTCACTTGGCATAAATTTACTAGCTCTGAAAATCTGGATTTTCTCTGAGTCTACACTGCCATCTAATGGTGGCTGAACATGTGGCTGGGTGTGAAAAAGAAGGCCTTGATAAGAATGAGGTTGGATCCTTCAAAAACTATGGTGACAGTATTTCTTAATCTTTGGAACGTTAGTCAAAAAATATAACTGTTTATTGTTAGTTCACGGTCAGGTCTAATAAATAATATTAACAGATACAATGTTTGATTTTAATAAAGTATTAGGAAATGTTGAAATTAACATTAACTAAGATTAATAAATGCTTTAGAAGTACAGTATTTTCATTGTTATTTCATGTTAGCTAATGTAATTACCTAATGTTAACAAATGGAACCTTAATGTAAAATGCTACCATTATTTTTTCCTATTTTTTCATTATTGCACAAAATGCACCAGACTGTATTACCAGACATATTTGTTAACTGACATTTTTAATAATACATGTTTAAAATATTACTTACTAAAAATTAAATTGATTTATTTCATTTCATATTATACAATGATTTCATATTATTTCATGTATCAATCAAAATGAATTAATAACCAATTAAATTATTTTAATTTAATGTTGATTTTATGGGCCCTGCAAGAAGAATTCTCTAATTTACCATTAATTCAAAACAAAGTCAAAGAAAATGACTTGTAATAGACAAGGCTTTTTGTTGCATGACATTCCTCTATTGTGTTTGTTGATCTGCTATGATTTATAATTCTGAAATCCATCTTCCTGTCAAACCAATTCAGCTTTCTGTGGTCTGTGTGTGTGTGTGTGTGTGTAGTTCCCCTGAATTATGCCCAGCTTTTTCAATATGAAATATTAGCCATTTTATTAGAACAATTTTGTCTCAGCCATGGTAAAATAAGACAATTTGTCAAAAACAAACAAACAAAAAAAAATAATTCTCGTTTTTTTTTTTTTTTTCAGTATGTCGTACAGCCATGCCTGCTGATATTGTGTTCCTGGTGGATGATTCCTGGTCAGTGGGTCCGACCAGCTTCCAGCAGATCAAAGAGTTCATAGCGGACATCATCCGAGCCTTCCAGGGAAGTGTGATTGGACAGGAAGGCATTCGCTTTGGAGTTACTGTCTATTCTGACTTGCCCAGGTCAGTATACATACTGCAGTGGGTTAGTGTTTGCACTTTGGAGAGCCGTTTTCTGCTGAGACAGTGATTATGAGAGAATTAAAGACTACAATATACTGTATATCTGTATATTCCATACGTTAGTAAGCACGAATTAACTGCTTGAATACTCCATATGCATCCGGTTGTGTCCTTGTTCAGGATACGTATAGCTCTGACAGATTATTCGACTCTGGAGGAAGTGCTCCGAGCTGTGGAGGAGGTGCCATATGAGGGAGGCAAGAGCCGCACCGGCTTGGCGTTGGAATTCCTTGTCGAGTCTGTCTTCAGTCCTTCTATCATCAGAGACAATGCCCCAAAGGTGTGACACTTCAGTCACAATCACTTCAAAACACTTCACACACAACCAAACCCATGTTAGAGCCACAACAGAGATTTTAAAAGGGCTTTTATACGGCATTGCATATTTACTCAAATATTTGAGTGCATCTTAAGTGCCTTAACTTGCCATTAAAGATGCCAACAAGCAATTTGTCTGTCCACACTGACCACAAATTGCTGCACGATATGACATCAATCACAGCCAGTCAGAAGACTTGATGTTTAATGTACAGTTATAAGGATCGGGATTGTGAACCAATGGCATTTCGAAAAAATTTTGGTTCCCCAAAGAACCTTTCAGTGAACAGTTCTGAAAAGAACCATATTTTTTTAATTTAAAGACCATTTAAAAAATCTAAGAGCTTTTTCCCACTATACTCTTAAAAATAAAAATTCCAAAAGGAGATGCCATGGCATAGAAGAACCATTTTTGGTTCCCTAAAGAACCTTTCAGTGAACCATTTTTTTTTTCTGAGTGTGATCAATATTTTCAATAATCTAAAGAACGTTTTTTTCCACCATAAAGAACATTTTGTGGAATAGAAAGGTGCCATGGATGTTAAAGGTTCTTGGTGGGACTATAGATGCCAATAAAGAACTTTTATGTTTTAAGATTTTATAAAGGGCCTTTTTTAAATGGAAAAGTTTCATGGATGTTAAAGGTTCTTCATGCAGCCATAGATGCCAATAAAGAGTGTCCCTTAAATGTACCATGATGGTGCATAAATGAAAATCAGTCAAACGACAATATCTTACTGCTTGTTGTGGTCACAGCTTGTATTGTTTGACATTTTATTGCATGTTGTTCGGTTAGGCCACAATACTGAATCTCAGTGATATTTGTCCATTATTAAAACTGCAGCAAAGTATTGAAATGCCAAATTTCCAAATGAAACATCCTTGCACATATACACAGAACAAAATTCTAATTATACATCTCAAAGAGCTGCACCTGCAATCACTCCATTGATTCTGTCAGGACATCACGTCCTGCGCTGCAGTGCACACACTCTGCTCCGCAGTGTCCCACCCATCCTAATTTAGGGCTTGATTAGGATTCCAAACCTCACACAGCTGCTGGTCTTGCCGTAGAGCACCTGGTGTGGAGAAATGAGTGGGCGTTTATAATGAACTGCAGAGATTTCACCTTTTATTAAAACTCTCATCACATACATACACTGTAATGGCATGCTAGTGTAGAGTGCATAAAGATGAACCCAGATGCAGCACAACCAATGCTGGTGAACTTTAGGTGACCCAGGAGATGTTTCCTTTTCAGAATACTCATTTGTGAGTGTAAGCGACTTTGCAGGTTTGGATCTGCTGCGGTTGGGGAATTATGTATGCAATGAGATGATAATTCATGCCGTATGCTTTCAAGGGCATCAGTATCAGCGTGATGTTCTTAATGGTAGATTGAGTCCTTAAATAAAAATTCACACTTTTGGGTGGATTTCATGAAAGCTAACATGAAAAAGTCCCAGTCATATTTCACACCAAAAATCAAAAGAAAAAAAATTACATTCCGCATAAAGAATAAAATGTTGTTTGGTTTTTTTAACACTTTTTTTGCATTATATTTTTGTCATTATTTTTCATGACAAATTAGCATATTTCACCTCTCAGATTACTGTAATGTATTACGGTAAAATATTACATTAAAGAGAATCATTGTTGAAAATAATCAGAGTAGTAAAAGTATGTGATGCATTTTAGTAATGAAAATTGGGGTGTAAGAATTGCTTAATTGTGCAAAAATGTTCCTAATATAAATATAGGCCTCATTTTCTGTATTCAAAATATAATTTCGTTTTTTCCTGTTAACACTTTGTTTTAGAGTTCTGTTCTACATTTACTGTATGTGCTACATACTTAAGTAATAATTCTAAACCTAACCTTAACCCATATTAAGTCCATGTAATTACCTTATAGTATAACTTAGTAGTTGGTGTGTGAGTACACTATAAGTACTGTAAAATTAAGTTGTGGGGAAGTTGTGGCCTAATGGTTAGAGAGTCAAACTCGTAACCCAAAGGTTGCGGGTTCGAGTCTCTTACCGGCAGGGATTGTAGGTGGGGGGAGTGAATGTACAGTGCTCTCTTCCACCTTCAATACCACGACTGAGGTGCCCTTGAGCAAGGCACCGAACCCCCAACTGCTCCCCGGGCGCCGCAGCGTAAATGGCTGCCCACTGCTCCAGGTGTGTGTGCTTACTGCTGTGTGTGTGCACTTAGGATGGGTTAAATGCAGAGCACTAATTCCTAGTATGAGTAACTTTCACTTTCATTAAGCACAACCTAGCCTTCACTTGAGCTGTCTGTTTTAAAAAATGATCGCCCCATCTCTGTTTTACCATTTATTTCCAAGGTTTTGGAAAAGATTGTGTTTTTCCAACTTCAATCTTTTCTTGCTGTAAATAGTCTGTTTGAGCACTTTCAATGTGGTTTCAAGGCTGCCCACAGCACTGAATCTGCCCTTTTGAGAGTGTTAAACAACATCTTTTAGCCACTGATACGGGTGACTCTGTGCTCCTTGTTCTTTTAGATTTATCAGCTGCTTTTGACACCATTAATTATTCTATATTAATCAATAGACTAGAATCTTGGGTGGGCCTCTCAGGCACAGTTCTAAAGTGGTTCCAGTCATTTTTATCTGACAGGAAATATGTGGTGGGGTTTCTCTCCCCTGTGGCCTTCCACAAGGCTCAATTTTGGCCCCCACTTTATTTTCGTAGTATATGCTACCTCTGGGCTCCATTTTTATAAAACACAGGGTGTCGTTTCATTTGTATGCCGACGACACGCAAATCTATTTACCTTTTAGGAAGAATGACCCATTGGCAATGACTGCCCTTTCATCTTGCTTAGACGAGGTTAAATTCTGGCTCTCTCAAAAATTTTTATCTTTAAGTGAAGGGAAAACTGAGGTGATCATTTTCGGTCCATCAGAAAATATGAAAGCCCTAAATCTTGACCTAGGACCTTTATTGGCTTTTAGGTCTTCACAGGTACGGAATCTGGGTCTTCTTTTAGATGACTCGCTAAAATTCGATAAGCAAATTTCTACTGTGATTGGGTCCAGTTTTCATCAACTCCGTACACTAGCAAAAATTAAACTCTTTCTCATTGACAAGACTTTGGAGATGGCGGTTCATGCTTTTATTACATCGCGTCTCGATTATTATAACTCTTTATACTGTGGCATATCTAAAACTCAAATTGCCCGTCTTCAAGTGGTCCAGAACGCTGCCTCTAGATTCCTTTTAAAAAAGAAAAAAAGGGATCACGTCACTCCGCTCTTGAAGGCCCTTCATTGGTTGCCTGTTCAATTTAGGATACATTTTAAAATCTTATTATTTGTTTTTAAATCTCTGCACAATCAAGCACCTGTTTATTTATCTGAATTGCTGCGTCAGTATATCCCCTCGAGAAGCCTAAGATCTTGCGACCAGAACCTTCTTGTAATTCCGCATACCAGACTCAAGCGTAGAGGTGACCGTGCCTTCTCAGTGATTGGGCCTCGTCTTTGGAATGACTTGCCAGTGGAGATCAGAACGGCCCGTAGCCTGTCTATTTTTAAGTCTCTTTTAAAAACCCATTTGTTTTCATTGGCCTATTAGGACTATATTCTTGCCAATTGTATTTCCTATTTGTGTTTTAATTTTCTGGTTGCGGTTTTTGTATTACTAAATTTTATGATTTTTGGTTTTTGGTTTTATGGTTTTTAATGTGCTATATAAATAAAGTAAACTTGAAAACTTTTTCCTTTGAGGTTAAATACAAGTTGGACCTTTCTCGACAGGTTTTGTGAGATTCCAGTATTAAGATATTAGACAAAAGGAAAGCTAATTTTTAGGACCTTTAAGATTTTTTGCATTGTGATCATTTTAATTACAATTAAGCTCATATTTTAGTGTGAGATTCACCCTTTTGCATGTTGGGATCACTAAAGCATCACTTTGTTTCTTTCTGGCCTCAGATTGCTGTTCTGATCACTAATGGCCAATCGGATGATCCAGTGGACGGTCCAGCTAAAGCTGTAGCAGACAGTGGGATTTCCCTGTTTGCTGTGGGTGAGTTGAAAACTTAGTGTTCTTTATGTCAGAAGTGTTTGTGCTGTAGATTGAACGGGCATGACACGTCTGTGTGCACTTCTTGTTTTGACGTGTGGCTCAGAGTAACTATAGTGGTGTATTGGTTTTGGCAGTAATATATTGGTGAACGCGGAAAGACGTAAAACGTGTATGTTTGTGTGTGTCAGCCTTGTTTCCTTGACTTTCTCATGCTCTTTCTGTTTTGACGCCCAGAGTGCTGAAATAATTATGGCTCATTACCCGGTGGCCGACTAATTGCTGTAATTTTTCATCTAACCCATTCCTCCTTGCCCCCCTTTATCTCACACACACACTGACCGTGTCCTGCCTTTCTAATGAGTTTTCCCAGAGAGACGTGAATATATCAGGCCGTTTGACACATCTGTGAGACAGATGTACAGCAGGGCGACATGCCTTGATGTTCTCCCATCATCACTTTACAGCCGATACACTGTCTGATAACACTGCAGCGGGTCTGAGACACATTAGGGTCATTTCTATACACACACACACACACACACACATATACCTGTTAAGCACTAGCTGCACCTTACAGACCTCCATGTTATGACAATGTTAAAATAAAGTCACGTTGGAGCTGTGGCATTGTGGTTAGTGAATAGTCATGGTGCTCATATGGATGATAAAGGTTTGAGGTTCCTTCAGTGTACCCTGAATCTATAATGTGTAAGAAATGATGAAGCAGATCTTTATAGAAGCTAATCGGTGCCATTTCAACTAGCTGATATCATCATGTATGTTCTTAAGGGGTAAGGAATGCTGATCAGTCCGAGATGAAGAAAATCGTCACAGAACCCCATGAGGAACATCTACTGCTCAGCCCAGATTTCTTCTTGCTGGAGAACCATCTGCCCAAACTCTCTCGTCGCATCTGCTTCACTGCTTCAGAACCTCCCCGACCTGTTAAACAAAAGCCACCTGGTAAAACCACCATCAGTTTTTCTACCTTTTTGTTGTTGCTGTTGTTTGTAACCAAAGGTTTTTATTGCATTTTGAGCCTATCTGAACACAGTTGACCCTTCACTAAATTCTGCCATCCTTTGTTGCTTTTTCTCCCTGAGACGAGCTTTACAGAATTCCCCATAAGAATTAATGGGAAATTAATGTAAACAGTATAATTTTCAGTAAAATGCGCACACAAATTGTGGTTTTTATTCTTTCTTGGGCTACAATTAAGTGTGACATTTACATCTGTTGTTATTTATTTAAAATTTAAAAAATTTTGTACAAAGTAACATGATTAAATGCTGCAGACTATGAATCAGAAACTAGGAAAATACTCAAAACAGTCTGAATCTGAAAGGAGAAAAGAGTTATGACAAGTTAAATCACATTTATTCATAAAGTGCTTTTACATATTGTTTCAAAGCAGCATCACATTAATCAAGTGGAAAATACCTGTTAATTTATCAATTATGAAACATTCAATTTCAGCTGTAAAGCAGCTCTAGAGAAGATAATAGTGTCATTATTCAGCTCACTTTAGTTCACTGTTGTTTCAATTCAGTTCAGTAGCTGTGCCAATGTTGTAAAGCTCATCAATTATTAAACGAGTTTAATTTAGCTATAAGATGCTCTACATAAGGCAATAGTGTCATTATTCAGCTCAAATCGGTTGAGTGTTGGTTTGGTTCAGTTCAGTTCAATAACAGTGCCGATGTTGCAACGTTAGTGTCATTATCCAGCTCAAATCTTGTTCTCATCGAATAGTGTGAGTGCAGTTTAGTCAATATATTACTGCATATTAATTCTCTTTTTAAACCCCTTTCTTTTAATCAATAGTGATTAAAGTCGACAACATTAATGTAACATTTGACTAATGGTTTACTGTACTGCAATTTTGTTCAATTATTATTGTTCCTCTTTATAACCCAAATGTGTAAATAAATTAACATTCATTTTGAGGGCTGAGGTAGTTTGATCCACAGCATGAACCTCACAAGATTAATTATGAAGATATATACAGAGGTCTGTCACGAAACTCTAGATGGTGCAGGCCGATAGATTCAAACTCAATCTGATAAAATTACATCATCATTCACATGGCGCAGCCGATTGGTTTCTTTTTGCATCATCGGGAGCCAATGAGCTTGCTGCTCGTCATTCAGATGCTTGGCTAGCGCTTGCTGTAGCAGTTGCGTCGCGCTTCAGAAACCCTCCACCTTCCCTAGTTCCACATTTATAGATCTGCTACGGGGTAATTTCATGTATATTATAAATGGAGGTTATTTTATATATGTTAAATGTGCAGCAGCAGTATTTCCTACATGCTCACTGCAGCATATATGTGGATGTATTGGCAGTAGCAAGTCTCGGTACTTGGTCTGCCGCAGCAGCATAGCAGACCTATTCCGCCAAGACCAAACACATTAACATTGCCAATATTACCATGCTAAACTCTCAGAGAGTTGTCATGGCAAAACTAGCTGTTTTCAAAATAAAGACCTTGAAACACCCCATGTGGATCGTGTCTTTTGTCACTATTATAAAGTGACCCACCATTTTTCCATATTTTTTTTTTATAAGTTCCATAATTTCTACAAACACACATAAGATACTTCATTGACTTACATTAGAAAAGTGCAAAAGAAAATTAGAAAAGTGTATTGTCTGATAATATATCAGGCAGCAACAGGGCTCACCGGCTCAGTGAATAGCTGATTTTCTTCTATCTTTTCTTCTTATCCTGTGTGCTGTTCTGTCTGCTGTAGTGCTGGAGAGGATAGTAGGACCTAAAGATCTGCAAGTGAGCGAGCTGAGTTACAGCTCTCTGCAGCTGATCTGGAGTCAGGCCACAGGAGACGTTACCGGCTACAGGCTGCTCATCACCCCTGTGTCTCCAAAGGGCCATCTGCTCCCAGCACAGCAGAGACAGGTGAGACACGGTCACCTGTGCATATGTACACCCCATGCAGCACAGCAGATGGAAGGCTGCACATTGACCAGCTTTCTTTATGTGGCAATAAGCTAAAATGATGACTATGTATTTGCAAGTGAGCGTGTGTGGTTTGTTCAGAATATATTCTTTTCTTTCTGTTTCTCAGATTGATCTGAAGGGAGATATTAGTAGTACTCCAGTAACCGGGTTAAGTCCTAAGACTGAGTACTCTCTGACTTTATATGCCATCTACCCCGGACGCATTGGAGAATCTGCCTCTATTATCACAGAAACCAGTAACTATATTCACTAAAAATATCTCTAAACATGATAAATTTACGTCAAAATGGCGTTTATGTATATTTTGAAGGAATGATCTTTCATTGTGAGCTTATTTATACACAGTACACAGACTTTCCCATCGTCTAAATGCAATTCATATGTATGCATTCTTTTCAGCTGTTTTGCCACTGGTTTCGAACTTCCATGTGATTGAAGAAGGACTGTTCTCTTTACGTCTGGGATGGATGTCTCCGCTTGGAAAAGTGGATAAATATAAAGTTTATGTTCCAAGAAGTGAGAAATCAGCACACACTCTGAGACGGAATATGAGATATTTTAAAGATGTTGTTTTCAAAAATTCCTTCATTTGTTCTCAGCGGACAGACCCGGCCTCATTTACGATCAAATTCTGTCGGGTGACGCCTCCTCTCACGGGATTGATACTTTAGAAGAGGACAAAGAGTACACAGTAGAAATCTACGCCATCTACCCAGAGGGCCCCAGTGAGACTGTATCTGTCACCGGGAAAACTTGTAAGTTTGTCTTCTGTCTTCTATATCTTTCATTTTTAATTTCATTATAATTTCATCATTATATGTATATATATTTAGATGGTATTTATGGTTAGGGAATAATAATAATTATTATTATTTTAAATAGTTTATTTTTTTATTATTGTAATAATATTACCATTTATAAAAAGTATTATTGTTAATAATAATAATTGAAGGGAAATTTTATATTAAATAGTTTGGCTTGGAATTATTATGTGTATTACTAGTTTAACCACTAGATGGCAGTATAACACATATCATCACAAAGAAACCTTTAAGTAAAAATAAAAACGTTCTCTTGTGTTTTATTTATTTAATTTTCTATTTTCTGTTTCTAGTTTGTTTTGAAAAATAATTTTTTATCATGCATTATCATCCTATTATACACATCTCGTCCATCTTTATTTGACCCTCTAACTCTAGCACTCTCTATTCTAATTCTATTCTTTAAAAAAAAACACTTGTCCCTTTAAGACTTGCACTCTATTCATTTGCTGCTTGTTTTCTTTAAAAAAAAACAACAAAAAAAACTAGCACTTGTTTTCTAATCTTTTTGTGTTCTATCTGTTTTCTTTTCATTTATTATACAATTAACAAAAGCAAAAAAGACCTCTAACACTAGCTTCCTCTATTCTTTTTCTATTCTATCTGTTTTCTTTTTATTTATTATATTCTTTAAAAAACCCTTGCTACGTGTACTGTGTTAAGCTAACTGAGACTTGTTATAGCACTTGTATATCATTGCTCTTTTGTTGATTTTGATTGCTTCCATTGTCCTCATTTGTAAGTCGCTTTGGATAAAAGCGTCTGCTAAATGACTAAATGTAAATGTATTATAAACTCTGCACTTATGCTTCTCTTTGTGTTCCAGTGAAACTGGTTCCAGTTGATCAACTGCTGGTGCAGAACGCTACTACAGACACAGTTCAGGCCCGCTGGTCATCTGTCAGAGGCGCCACAGGATACAGACTCACCTGGTCATCATCAGGTAACGAGCACTGAGCTGCTCCAATAGTAAATGCAGCCTATTTAAAAACAGAAATGCACATGCATAGCTCTGCTTCCATATTTCCGCAGAGGGACACAGAGAAAATGTGAACCTGGGAGACAACTTTAATTTCTACATGGTGCAGGGCCTGCATGCTGGTACAGAGTACACCATCACTATCAACCCCATCTTTGTGGACATTGAAGGGCCTGTTACCTCTGCCAAAGCCAAGACATGTGAGTGCTACACTGTAATGGGCCCATTACACAGGAAGCATGCTTGCTTTCAAAAACAGCTAGTTGGAGCCAACACAATGGAACCGGGGTTTCAATATGTGTTATTTAACTCGATACAGTGTCTTAAAAACAGCAAGGCATTAAAAAATAGTGCAGACTGAGTGTAAAAAGCTACAATACTGCGAATAAATCATGCCACATGTGAAGATGCTGATGCTCTCTCTCTCTTTCTCAGTGGAAAGCAGTGCAGTACAGACCCTGAGAGCGTCTGCGGTGAGCATTAGCAGCGCTGTTACCTCGTGGAACGCTGTACCTGGAGCCACAGGCTATAGATTGGCCTGGGGTCCTACTGCAGGTACCTATATAAGTACCTTTTTTCTGTCTCCTTGTCCTGCACTTGGCCATTCGTTTCACTTTGTAGTCCGTTTCTCTTTTCATTTCCTCTCTCTCTCTGATTTATATTCTCTCTTTTATGGAAGCGACAGGTTGGTGACAACATGAGGTGTCGCTGTGCTGCCTCATGACTCATGCCGTCAACTTTATTCGTATGTTTAAGAGAATTTGTGTGTGTGTGTGTGTGTGTAAGTTTGGGACTCTGTGTAAGAGAAATGAATTGATGGCACCTTCAAAAGAAGAGTCTCGCCTCATGACTCATGCCGTCAACTTTATTCGTATGTTTAAGAGAATTTGTGTGTGTGTGTGTGTGTGTGTGTGTGTAAGTTTGGGACTCTGTGTAAGAGAAATGAATTGATGGCACCTTCAAAAGAAGAGTCTTTGAAAGTGACTCCTTTCTGTCTGATGGGCATCTGCTTTAAAAGAACGACCTGGAAGAACATTCTAATGAAAGAGAGCTCTGTGACTCATACCACACGCTCTGACACATACATAAAGAGAGTCTGAGGCTGAGTTTATGGAGAATGGGAAGGAAACGAAAGGCAAGAAAGACTAATTAGACGTTAGATGTTCAGTATTTAAAAAAAGTCTTGAAACACGAAAGTAAGATTTATTATTATTTATTATGAAATTATATTTTAAATATAAATGTACAATTTTGATATTTATATGTATGAAATGTTAAATTAATATACATATATCTATTTTTATAAAAAATTATTTTTTTATAAAAATAAAATTTTTGTAAAAGTATTTATATATATATATAAATGTTATTATTATTTGCTAATATATATATATATATATATAAAAAGACAAGTGAGACTTAAAATGTTAATATTACTCAAATAAAATGTGTATATATATATATATACATACAGTGTGTGTGTGTAAATGTTTAATAAATAAAATATTCAAATTATTAATATTATTACAAATGTTTTTATTTAAATGTCACCAAAAAATAATAAATAATATACATATACCTAAAAAAATGTAATACATATTTTGGATGACATATCTGTTTTATCTATTTATATATTTTCATTTGTGTGTTTACTTATGTGAAGAGTTCATAGGGAGAGATCGGCCCAGGCAGTTGGCTCTGAATGGCAGCACTACGGAGTATGTTTTGAAGAATCTGGTCCATGACACCGAGTATGTGCTTTCGCTTTATGTTCTCTTTGGTTCTGCGGTTGGTCCGGGCATCACCGCTACATTCAGGACCTGTGAGTGACCCGACAACTTGTCATGTTTCCTTGATAAACACATTCTGACAGTGATTATTTATATATTAATGTGCTTGTTGGTTGGGTTAATGTCATAAGTTCTGCTCTCCAGCGCCTCTCGAATACGTCTCAAATTTTAAAGTGACGTCATACACCAGCTCCTCCATCGATGTGGAATGGAGTCCTATTGTAGGGGCCACAGAGTACAAACTCACCTGGAGTTCAGGTAAAAACTCTTGGTACTTTTTTTAAAACCTACAAAATTATAAAATACTAAATTTGAAATTAATCTAACCAGTCAGTTTTAATAAGGCCCAAAAAACTATGATATGCTCCAAAACATAACATTTGCATCATTTGTGTGCAATGGGTTGTGCATCAACTCCCAGAATTTGTGAGTCCTCAGAGTTGGTATCTTGACCGCAGTATTTTACAGCACAGCATCACTGCTCTTCAGCCACAAACCCTTTATTCTGTCAGCATTCACGCTCTCTACAGCAACACAGAAGGACCAGAAATCACTCAAAAACCTACAAAATTATAAAATACTAAATTTGAAATTAATCTAACCAGTCAGTTTTAATAAGGCCCAAAAAACTATGATATGCTCCAAAACATAACATTTGCATCATTTGTGTGCAATGGGTTGTGCATCAACTCCCAGAATTTGTGAGTCCTCAGAGTCGGTATCTTGACCGCAGTATTTTACAGCACAGCATCACTGCTCTTCAGCCACAAACCCTTTATTCTGTCAGCATTCACGCTCTCTACAGCAACACAGAAGGACCAGAAATCACTCTCTCACAGCAAACAGGTACTGTTCACAACACTGAACTTATTCACAGATTCACAGAAAAAGAACAGTATAAGTATAAGCTACAGTATTTTTCTTGTATTGTTTCTGGGTTTGTTAACTGTCCTCCTGTCTCAAGACACCCATTTAATGTAATATTGTGAGTTTAGTGTAAATTAATCTCTATTAATGGCATCTGTGGCATAATGTTGATTACTACAAAAAATTGTATTTATGTAAATCTGGGTTAAAGTGAAACGTTTACAATGGGGCCAATTTTCTTAACGTTAGAATACTCACAGCTTCAGTATAGACATGAACAATATATGTTAACATGATTTTAGTGTGAAAAAGTAACTCACTAACCTTTTATGTATAAAGTTATATCCAATTTTACGTCTTTCTTGCCATGACAATGTAACTCCGTAAACCTTAAACCCGTAAACAGCTTTACGTCTGAATACACAAGTTTTAACAGAAGAATTAGTATGCTTTTATAAAATTATTACATTCACATTTCTGCTTTAAATTATCCAAAGAAATGGTCCTAATCATTTCTACTGGAAGTGCTTTACCATAACCATTTTTTATGAAAACAAAGGTCTAGTTAGAGTTATTTGTGTGGTAATAAACACACCCAAACCCGAAACCCGGATCTTACAATATTCCTCTTATTTTTGCTTTACTTTTGCTGATTTCACCTTTTCACAGTTACGGCCTCTTCATACTGGTACTCTTAGGATTTTAACTATATACTGCTCCTTTTAGTATTGTCTCTGTTATATGAAGTCTTCCGCATTATTTTACTCTGTAGAAAAGCTGTACCAACAAATCTTGACTCTTTTTAGTCTGGTTGGACTGCTCTGTTTGGCTCTGTGTCTTCTTGCAATGACAACTGGTCGACAGGCACATTTAATTTATCAGAGCCATAAGAAGAAAACTCTGCTCAGTTAATTAGGCACTTCAGACAGTCAGGGTCCGGGGATATGGAGATGTTCCTCCCATTGTTCCAATGGGATTGAGGGATATCATGAGATTGATTGACAGCTCCTGTGTTTGAGCCGCCATCTTTAGCAACCACAGCTGTATAGAGCAGTATTTTTACTGAAACTCAGTGTGTGTGTATGTGTATGTGTTTCTCTGCTGTCAGCTTCACTGTTATCAGCACATCTTCACAGTTTCACAGGCAACACTGTAAAAGCACAAAGCGGCTACACTGCACTTAAACAAACACTATATATATATAAACTATAAATATCAAATAACATTACCTAAGTATATTTAATACCATAAGATTATTTATTTAACCCATTTTGACTTGAACATGTCTTACATGTTGGACTATAATCCCTCAAGAGTCGTGATCTTAAAAAATATTGAATAAACATTTTTGAATGATTTTTAAATCAATTTTAAAGAAAAAAAATTTAATTTTAAGCTAAACATTTATTTGAAATAATTTGAAATATGAATTAAAATTAAAAAAAGAAAGAATATATATAAATTAACTTGATCAAACCTGTTGTCACTAATTATTTTGCCATGCATTTGTAGCCTCTTTGACAGACTCTGAGCTGATTGCAAAGTAAAGTGATTGTTTTAATATCATATATTATTTTATTACAGTAGATTAACTTGGCTTTAGGCTCTAGAGCTGCTCAGATGACTTAGAACAATAGGCTGACCGTTCATTTGTTAATGAGTGGTGCTAAATAGCAGGGAAAACTAATTTCAGATAAGCTCTAGTAATAAGGGTTCCTCTCACAAAAGCCGTTTTGTCTGATATGCGAGACATAAAAAAGAAGAGAATAGACAGCGTAGATAATGTCATGAAGAGATCTGTGATTCATTCATGTTATCTTGATGACGTCAACAGGGCCTTCTAATGAGGGTGTGCTTTGCATGAACATGAAGGGTATGAGGAATTTAAAGGTGGACTTTTATTTGAGCTTTTGACACATAAAACACAGAATTCAGATTCTGGAACTCGCCGTGTCCTTGAAATGTTTTAAACTGATAAAAGCGTTTGACACATCTGAAATCTGTTAAAATTTCGAGTGATTTTGCAGTCAATAGACTCTCCGAGATGTTTCCTACACCTGTTTTGACACATTGATGCTGACATTATTTTGTCCTAATGCAAATGTCTCTCTTCACGTTCTGTGTAGAGGTGGACATCTCCTCTGATCTGCTGAGCTCTGGCTTCACGTCCTATAAGATCAGAGATCTCCTGTATGGCAGAACCTATTTATTTTCCATCAGACCACTTTATGGGGAAGTGGAGGGTCCGGTCACAACTATCACTAAAAGGATCTGTAAGGCCTTATCTCTGCAAATATCATTAGAATTATAGCTTTTTAAATGTTGCACTTATATTGTAAGGCACGATTGATGTATTAGACACATCTGTTGTAAATTATGTTCTCTGTTCATAAAAGAGTCTGTCTTTGTGCTGTTCATTATGTAAAAGTGTATGTATTTATAAAACACAGTCCTGTTCAGTAGTTTGGGGTCAACGGTAAGTTTTTTTTATTTTTTTATTTTTTTTTATTAACTATTTGTTCAGCAAGGGCACGTTAAATTGATCAAAAGTGATAGTAAATACATTTATAATGTAACAAGTTATTTCTATTTAAAATAAAAAGCTGAACTTTTGATCTTTTAAAAATGAATCATGGTTTCATATTATAATATTAAGCAGAACAAACATTTTCAACATTGATAATAGTAAAAAATGTTCTTGAGCAGCAGATCAGCATATTATAATGATTTCTGAGAGTCATGTGACACTGAAGATTGGCGTAATGGCTGCTGAACATTCAGCTTTTCTATCACAGGGATAAATTACACTTTTTTCATATATTTTTAGCATATCAACATATATATCAACAACTGTTTATACTCTATTTTGGATCAAATAAATGCAGCCTTGGTGAGCATAAGAGACTCCAAACCTTTGAAAAGTGGTGTATAGTAAAAGTAAAGCTGGTTTGTTTGAGCTCAGGACTTTTTGTGATTGTCTTACAGTGGGAGCTCCTCATCTCATTCCTGTCCAGAGCCCCACGCCGGCCCCCGTCTCTGCTAATACCAAAATCAATGACTCGCCCCTCCACACCACAACCAGAAACGCTCGCACCCCGGTGGTCAAAGCCCCTAGCACACCCACCACCACTCAGAGACTCACTGTGAGGCCTCAGATCACCATTGGCCAAACAGCTTCAGCACTGACCAGAGTCACCACAGTTAATGACCAAACCACCCTGTCCGTCGAGACACCTCCACCTGGACCAGGTCATTCAGATTCAATTTGGTCCCAGTCAGTTTTTTCAACTTAAAATGTAAAAACTTCTGCTGAAGTTATATTTTAAAGGGTTTATATCATACTTTGCATTTTAGATATTTTCCCTGATATCCATTTAAAATGTGATTTAAGGTTTTATGCACCAGAAACATTCATTGTTTAGTTTTCATGTCCTTTTCCCACCGTAGAGCCGCCGTCCAGGATAGCACATGCTCTGGGTGAGTAATATTGACTGCAATATTGACTGTGCTATTCAAAAGTTTGGGGTCAGTAAGATTTGTTTAATGTTTTTGAAAAATCCAAGGCTCACCAAGCCTACATTTCAGATCAAAAATACAGTTAAAAAAACAAAAACACAAAAAACAATTACAATTTAATGACCATTTAAAAGAACTGTTTGATTTGGAAGCTTGTTTCCACCATGGGATAAAAAAACAACAATTAGAAACGTTATTCTGAGTTTATATCTCACAATTATGACATTCGGTTAAATTCAGAATTCAGAGAAAAAAGGTCAGAATTGTGAGACGTAAACTCGTTTTTATAAGTTTATAATTTGCAATTTGTGAGATATAAACCATGATGTAGAGCCGCCGTCCAGGATAGCACATGCTCTGGGTGAGTAATATTGACTGCAATATTGACTGTGCTATTCAAAAGTTTGGGGTCAGTAAGATTTGTTTAATGTTTTTGAAAAAGCCAAGGCTCACCAAGCCTACATTTCAGATCAAAAATACAGTTAAAAAAACAAACAAAAAAAACAATTACAATTTAATTACCATTTAAAAGAACTGTTTGATTTGGAAGCTTGTTTCCACCATGGGATAAAAAAACAACAATTAGAAACGTTATTCTGAGTTTATATCTCACAATTATGACTTTTTTTCCTCGCAATTCGGTTAAATTCAGAATTCAGAGAAAAAAGGTCAGAATTGTGAGATGTAAACTCGTTTTTATAAGTTTATAATTTGCAATTTGTGAGATATAAACCATGAATTGTGAAAAAATTGAGATCAATTTTTTGTAATGGAAACAAGCTTCAGTAGATTTCTATTTTAAGGTATTTTGAAATGTAATTAATTCCTGTGATGGCAAAGCTAAATTTCTCCAGTGTTTTCAGTGTCACATGATCCTTCCAAAATCATTTTAATATGCTGTTTTGGTGCACAAGAAACATTTCTTATCATTGTCACAATATAAAACAGTTGTGCTGCTTAATATATTTGAAGAAACTGTGATACAAATACAAATTTTACAGAATCTTTGATGAATAGAAAGTTCAAAATAACAACATTTATTTGAATTAGATTTTTTATTATAGTTTTTTTTTTTTTTTACTTGATCAATTTAATGTGTCCTTGCTGGATAAAAGTATACATTTTCTTTCAAAAAATAAAAAACATACTGACCCTAAAATTCTGAGAGGCATTGTAAGTAGTATATTTACTACTTGATCTACACCATGCTTTAGTGACACCTTAGTATAAGGCTTAATAAATAATAAACTTCAGTTTTTGGTGTATTTGTGTGTTAGGTGTCAGTGTGTTGGCCATCGGCATCGCTCATGCAGATATTGAGGAGCTGAGGACCATCGCCTCTCCCACCACTTACAAGAACATCTTCTTCTCCAGTGATTTTGACGATCTTCCGACCATCGAGAGAGAGTTTATCAGCAGCATCTGTAGCGTGGCCTTACAGTCAGAGTTCAAGCAACACGATGAGGTGGGCCGTGTAGATCCGAGTGGAATTATGGGTATTATTTTCACAATACATACTGCATAAATCAGATTTGTATTTGTCTTTGTCCTAGTCTGCTCAACTGGATACACCTACAGATGACCCGGAAGCTCTCAGTAAACCAGAAGGGCCCTGTCCTCTTAGCTGCAAGGTAAACACTTCCTCTACATCCTCACTACCGCTGTCACATCATGTCTCATATGAATCCTCATTTCCAGTTTGTTGTTGTTCACAGGGTCAGAAAGGAGAGAAGGTAAGTAGCTATTGTGTTACTGTGTGTTATTGACCAAATAATTATAACTGATGATATGATTATATCTAATTTCTCCACTGCAGGGCGATGGATTTGGTCATGGAGGCCTGGTATGTTAGACAGTTGCTGACTGCTTTTTCTCACCTCATAATTCTGTTTGAACTCTGACACACAGTCTTTCTCTCTTTGTTAGGGGTGTTTACTAAGGTAACATCGGTATTATTATTACTCATACTTAGGGGTTTAAGCAAACCCTTAGTCCTAAAGGCCCATTCAGAATGATAACTACATACTAAGTGTTTAACGTACCTTACACTTAACTAAAACATTTCTTACCAATTAACTTAATGATATTGGCATGATAGATGATAGATTGGGGTAAAAAGTCCCATTTATATTTAAAGCTTTTATTCATATGTATTTTTAAATTTTCAGTTTTTATTTTAATTTTTTGTAATTTTGTTACGTGCTTTTATCATGTTTATTTGTTTTTGATTTTTTTATTTCTAAATATTATTTCTTTATTTTTATTTCAGCATTATATTTATTTTTTGTTAGTTTTAGTGCTTATACTTTTTTCACTTAGTTGTCAACATTTCCCATTATCATTCAATTTTAGGCATAATATTTACAGTATAGCTTATTTCAGATAAAGAATTTCAGGCTGCACGATAAATTGCATGTGATATTTAACGCGCATCTTGTCAGTAAAGCCGGTTCTTTAATCAGCGGTAAATCTCCATCACCTGCGGACTTTCACATGGAGCAGCATTAACTACACAGAGCTGTTGTTCACTGACGAGCTGCGCAAAACCACAATCATATTTTAGATTTACCGCTGATTACAGAATGGCTTTACTGACAAGATGCGCGTTAAATATCGTATGCGATTTATCGTGCAGCCCTAGTCTTTGTTTTAGTTAACTATTACAACACTAGTTTTGCACACACATTGTCTTCAGAAAATATAAAAATCTTTCTTGCAGTATTGGTTTAAGAGTTTTTAAAAAAAAAAAAAATTTCTGTTGACATAGCGACTCAAGCAAGGCCCGGGGCATTATGACTCATTCTCTCTAAAGGTCAAAGGGGAGAAGGGTGAACGGGTGAGTACATCCAACATCTGAAGTGCTCATGCCGTTCCACAACACAAACTTAAACATAAATAAAACACCGCCATCCTCTTCATAATTACATGTTGACGTGTATGTTAATTACTGGAGCATTTAATATTTGAACCGAGCCGTTCTGTTAATGATGAGATTGTTTTTATGACTCGGTTGTTGTTTTAGTAGATTAAAGGATTAAATCAAATTATTAATATCACAGATCTGTCTCAGTGCTATTCATACTTAGCTTTTTTTCTTCCTGTTATCTCTTTGAGAAGGCCACACATGAAAGCGCTTGTCAAATCAAAGGGACTCTTTTGAATAACAAATGAAATGTGACAGGTCTTGCTAACAAGATCAGCATTGTTATAGATGCTTCCTTATTTATTTCTGTGATATGTATCGATGTGAATGCGTGGATTCATATTGCTCTATATTTGATTTCAAAGTAAAATGTGCACTGAAGATGTTCTGTTATATATGAGGAATATCAAACAATTTCTGTGTATTTGTGTATATTATATAAGATTGTACTAATTAAAATGCTTTTGCCTGTATTATTCCCGCTCTGCACCCTTTCATCAGGGTCTTCCCGGAACGGATGGCATCCCAGGGTTACCAGGGCGACCAGGTAGAACTGGACCCCCTGGTTCTCCTGGACAAAGGGTAAAAGAAGGATCAAAATTCAGTTTAATATGGCAAAATATGTAGCAAATGTAGCTTATTAAGAAGATTATTGTTGATTTTTAAGAATATAACAGTTGTTAATGTGCATAAACAATCTCTTACTCTGATTCAGGGGGCACCTGGAATTCCTGGTGACATGGTAAGTGTCTCTTTTACATCTCACTATATAAAAAACAGTGTAGGTGGTGATATTTAAATCGATATATTCTGGAAATGGTAGTTAGTTCACTCGTTTAAAACATGTACGCAATGTCCTAACCCTTTGTATATCTTAGCAGGAGTTGGAGGAGCAGGCAATTATCTTTGAGTGATTCACAGAGGGAGTAATGAGGAATGATTATGGCTAGTCAGTATAAAGTATTTGCCCCCACATTCTTTTAAAGTTTCACCCTCTTTTATTAGATGTCTCACGTTCTGAACAATTTGATACTTGGCATGATTGTGAAAATGACTGTGTCTCATGACTATCAGACCAACTTTTTCTTTACATCTCTTCCTATCTCTCTTCTTCACAATCTCAGGGGCCACCTGGTAATACTGGACCGAAAGGACAGAGAGGAGAGAGAGTCAGTTTAGTCACTGACAAGCATTTGATATGTTGTATGGTGGTTTTATGTTATTTATTTATATATATAGGTATGGAGGTTCTTCCAGGACGTAAAGGAGAACCTGGATCCTCTGTAAGTGCTTGTGTCATACTACAGTATACAACTGTATTAAACTTTTTAGTTTGCAAAATATGCAGCTTAGCAACAAATCTGCTGAAATTGATCATTGTATTTAAATGTTTCCCCGTCCTTGATTAAAAGGGTCCCCCAGGTGCTCCAGGGGTCCCAGGGGTATCAGGTCCTCCAGGACTCTCTGGTTTGCCTGGGCCTCCGGGCTCTCCTGGACTCTCTGTTAAGGTTTGTATGAAATATTAGAAGTATGCACGCATGCACATCTCTTGTTAGTTTTTACTGTATGTAAATAAGATTTCGTTTCAATGCACAGTGTAAGTTAACAATACGAGTCCATACTCAAAGTAACATGCAATATATTACTTCCTCTTACGGCGAGACTGGAGAATCTGGTTCGAAAGTAAGTCATCTAATGTTCAAGGAACATTTTACCATTTAACATTTTATATAAAGTATACATGCAAAATAAGTTATTAATGTATGTTTATAATGCTTCTCACACTCTTCAGGGACCACGTGGAAAACCAGGACCCAAAGGAGAAAAGGGGGAGCATGGAAGTAATGTTAGTGCATGCTTTAGGAGTTAGTCTCTTAAAGCTACTCTGTGTATTATTTATTTTTATTTGATTTGAAAGTACTAATACTAAAAATGCAAATACTGTTACTATCTTAGATTAATATGTAGAAACAGCTATACGTATACCTCAAATAATATTTTTCGAAGTTGTAAATAAATAAAACCGATAATTTGCTTAGAAAATACTATTTCTGAATTTCCTGTTTAATTTATATGTAATAATTTTTTTTTACAAATTTACTTAGCAATGTTCGCCAATTTTCTTGAATGTGAGCCATTTAGTAGGTTGTATTTTAAAATGTCAAAAATGAAATAAGTGATTAAATCTTGTGGATGAGTTTTTCTAGGGTCTACCAGGTGTACCAGGAGCAGTGGGAGTGGATGGACTTCCAGGACTTCCTGGTCAGAAGGGGGAGAAGGTTTGAGAAAATCTAAATCAGTTTCATATTTCATTTTGTACTTTCAGCAGTGGTCTAAAAGCTATTTTAAGCAATGGTTACAGCTTGCCCAAGATGCATAAATTAAATCTCTCTGCTCATCTGCCTGCTATCTTTTTGGAAGTCTCATTGTTCAGAGAGCTGTAAAAAATTGCCCTTCCTCTCTGTCAGGACTGCATAGAGCTAAAATTAGTGCAGCTGGCTGTTTGATTGATTTTCTTTTGTGTTAATCATAAAGGGAGAGGAAGGTATCGGAATTCAGGGTGTTCAAGGTCCACCTGGGCCAAAAGGAGAAAAGGTACATATTTCTGATTTACTCAAAGCACAATCATATTAGTATTTCATTAAACTTATGTATGTTCCCCTGTGAAAGATCTTAAGGGTAATTATTAAGTTAGTGCTAATCAATTTTTCAGGGTAATACAGGACTACAAGGCCCAGAGGTAAGTGTGTTGTATTTAAAATCAATGGAGCAGAGTAAAAGACAATTGTCTTGTGCAATGTGTAATTTGCAGTTTCCATATTCATCCAAAGGGCCAAGCAGGAAACCAAGGAGTCCAAGGGATCACAGGGCCTCGGGTTTGTCAAACTCTACACAACCATTTAACATCAAAGTGTTTCGTCTTTCAATTTGTGCTGTTAAATTATGTCTTCCACAGAGAATCAACATGAACCTTTTAACAGATGTCAACCTTAGATGCAGTTTTGTTTAAGACATGTTAAGTGCTTCATAATGGACAGGTGTTTTACTGTTGTGTTTTTGTCTGTGTTTAGGGGAAAAAAGGTCTTAAAGGAGATCAAGGAGACAAGGTATGATTTTACACAATTTAGTCAGGCACATAACTTTTTGTTTTATGCATTGATTATCTGCCGGTCTGAATGTACTGATTGGTTGTCTTCTGGGTTTTTGAAGGGCAGTCCTGGATTCGGAATCCCCGGTCAGCCTGGTCCCAAAGGAGAAAGCGGAGAAAGAGTGAGTGTTTATGAGGCTTGTAGGTTGGCCTGTAGAAAAGTGTACACTTCTAACCACAGGACACAATGCAGAAAACTCAAAAAATGTCCACACATTAATTTTATAAGCCATATATGAAATATACTGTTTAAAAGTTTGGGGTCGGTAAGATTAGTTGATGTTTTTGAAAGAAGTCTCTTATGCTCACCAAGGTTGTATTTATTTGATCAAAATACAGTAAAACAGTATATATTGTATAAATATTGCAAATACAAGTAAGAGTCCACATTTGTTCATAAATTATATTAGACAAAAAAAGGTTTTAGAATAGCCAAATGATTATCATAAAAAAATAATTATTTTAGACTATGTAGACTATTCTGTCTCTCTTTTTTTTAATGCAGGGTAATGTTGGATTATCAGGGAAACCTGGGCCTAAAGTAAGTTTATTATACTCACATTTACACTCTTGTATTTTAATAACTGTGAAATTCTGTAAGAAAACAACAGTGATTGTTAATATCTAGCAAAGAGTGTGAATAAAAGATGAAATGAAACACGGATCATTTACATGAACACTTCCTTTGATTGTGTCCAGGGTGGCGATGGGTCCAAAGGAGAGAAAGGGGAGACGGGTTTCTCAGGCAACCCTGCTTCTCCAGGACTAAGAGGTAAAGATGTAAGTAAATCGAGGGCCCAGAGTGACTGATACTAGAAGTATGGGAGTGTGTGTATATGTGTGCGTGTGTGTGCTATGCATCATTGCACTAAGGATATTAGAGATAGAAGGGTTACTTTGCCATTTAATACCCATTGTTTGCTTTTTAATTAATGCTTCATTCATATTAAATTAAAATTTCTGCTTTAATGGATTTCAGGGTCTGCCAGGACTAAAAGGAGAGATGGGATTGAGGGTGAGAATCAACAACAAGCACAGAGAGACCCACACCTTTACACAATCTTGTCATTCTATCATGTTGAAGACTTTCCATTGACATCTATTGTTTGTATACTGAGCTAATATTATTTTAGATCCCCTCAACCTCACACAAAACCTTTCGATTTTTATTTATTATGTTTATTATTGAGTTTTTTTTTTTGTCTTTATAATGCAGATGATTTCAGGTTTTGCAATCCTTGTAGGCACATTTTGGACCCTGCAATGTATGCAAACATAAAACTGTTCAAATCAGATATTCTGTATCTGCCTTGTAATTTAACCCTTCCAATTAAAAAAAAAACATTTTATCCTGTCTACCTAACTAGTTATGTTTCTAGCTCAATGCAAAAATTCTATAACACTCACACTTCTCCTTATCTCCAATGTAAGGGCCCTCTCGGTCTTCCAGGACGACCCGGTGACCCTGGGGGGAAAGGCGAGCCTGGGAAATTAGGGTTTCCAGTAAGCAGCTTCCTTTATTTTGTAGACAGTATTTGATGAATACTTCTCTAAAGCACTTCCAGAGAGCCAATGAATTACAAACCATAATAGAAGAGAGTAGTCAATACCGTTTGATAATGAATGCCCATATTTTTCAGGGTCCAGAGGGAAACAAAGGAGAGAAAGGCGAGCTGGTTAGTGCTGCTATTAAAAAGCAATGATGATTTTATTTTTATGATAGTTTTTTTTAAGACAAAATCAGTATTTAAAGGGCCAGTCATGCTCTGTGCTCACATAACAGAATCACAGTTTTTCTTGTCATGCTCTCTAATGATAAATTAAAGAGCAAGAGTCACCATATTAATATTTTATTCTCTACAGGGAAGGCCGGGACCACCGGGAGACACTCGAGTGAGTTTTACTCTCCTTACTAGGTATTATAATCAAGCTGTTCAACATAAATTAATATCATTTAATCATGTTATTTTCAGTTGGTTGGTTTGTTACACATGTCAAAAGCTGTCAAGCCTGTATTGCTCTTCTTTTTTTTTCTTTTTTTTTTGTAGCATTTATTTGAATATTTCATGGTTATCCTTGTTAATACATATTGTCAGTACCTTCAGATTCTTATAATTCTTCTTCCCTAGTTCACCATGTCAGACAACACCATTCTCACCAGGGCCATTAAGGTAAAAGAAGACATTTTTAATTAATACAAATTTACAGATACAAAAAAAAAACTCTAGGAACCTTGGGTTAATTTTGGGGGTGTGTTTGGTGTCTTTAAAGGGTGAACCTGGTGAGCCGGGGCTCCCAGGACTCCGAGGGGAGACAGGACGTCCTGGACCAGCTGTAAGTGTGGCTTCCACTTTTGATGTACTATATGTATATACTTAATAAAAACAGAATGATATGGGTTGCTTTTATTCTCCCTTAGGGTCTTGAAGGTAAACCAGGACCTCCAGGGAATTCACTGGTGAGCCACTATAAAGTCATGTCCACCTTTATGAATTTATTATGATGCTTATAAATTTGAGATTACATTTTTTTTCTGCATATTTTTGTCAATGTTTCAGATGGCATGCCTTTTAATTATTTGCGGATGAAAGACTTAAACATTATTTAATGTAGCTCAATTTTCTTTCACTTCTAGCTTGGATCTAGGAAAGGAAGAGATGGTGTGGATGGTTTACCAGGAAGGCCTGGATCTAAGGTTTGACTACTTCTGTTTCAATTTTAATTTGTGCAACTTTTCTAAAATATGGTGACAGCTAATCATTCTCTTCATATGTGTTGTTGTAATTGTTTTAAGTTATAATTACCAGCGTTTTTGTGTGTACGCAGGGGGAACCAGGACAGAAAGGGGACCCAGGACCAGTGAGTAGGCCTAATAAAAAGTATTTTGTGATAATTTATCATGTGATTCATGTTTTAAATTTCAGTGACATTAACTGAATTGCAGGGTGTGTGACCAGTGTACAGTCTTAAAGTGCATCAAATGTCTACACGATGTTTGCTAATGAGTCTGTAGAACACTTTTTGTCATTTTGCTTAATCTCAGCTGAAATAAAGAAGTTAGCTAAAATATGTAAAGTAATAATAATAATAAATCCAACAATTATATGCACTTTAAGGTTATCTTTAGTTTATCATAATTAAAGTGACTGGAGTTAATGCTGTGCTTTTCAGGGTTTTGTGTGTGTGTGCATGTCTGTTTAATTTAACAGAAAGGAGATCCTGGACGTGCTGGGATAACTGGTATGCCTGGTTTACCTGGGACACCTGTGAGTATAGTGACATTTACAGCAGATATAAACCATAAAATCTCTATAACAAAGCCATTAATTTCCTCTTTCCTCTTATCTTCTGTTCTCTTCTCTTGTAGGGCAAACCTGGTGTTGATGGGAAACGTGGAGTAGCTGGAAAAGATGTAAGTGTAATATGTAGTTCTAAATGGCTTTGAACTTATTTATAAAATCAAACCACTGTTTTTTCCAGGGAGAACAAGGACAAAATGGTGATGAAGGGACAAAGGTTGGACAACAGAGTGATATGAACTACAATTCCATTATATTTAAAGGATTAGTTGTGCCAGAAATGAACATTTTATTTAAAAAAATGTACTCACCCTCAGGCCATCCAAGATGTTGATGAGGTTGCTTTATCATTGAACAGATTTTTTTAGAAATTTAGCATGACATCAGTTGCTCACCAATGGATCCTATACAGTTCAAACAGCTGATAAAAGCATCACAATAATCTAAACATAATCCACATTACTCCAGTCCATCAATTAATGTCTTGTGAATTGAAAAGCTGTGTGTTTGTAAGAAACAAATCCATTATTAAGATGTTTATATACCATACCATAATCTATAATAACGCTTCCTCCAGTGAAATTGTCCTCCCCTTTTGTCCTCTCACTTCAAACTCCATATTCGTATTTGTGAAGAACTGTTTTGGACAGTTTTTGCTTGTAAACGGTGCTTGATCTGTGCATATTTCTCTCCTGATTCAGACAAGACAACTTTTTCACTGTAGAAAGCAATAGTATGCATAGAAGACTTGTATTTTAGCAGGAAGTAATGGTTTGACGTTAAAAAACATCTTTGTGATTAATTCATTTATTACAAACTTGCCGCTTTTCACTTCACAAGACATTAATTGAAGTCGTGTGGATTATTGTGATGTTTTTATCGGCTGTTTATACTCTCAACATCCATTCACTGCAGAGGATCCATTGGTGAGCAAGTGATGTAATGCTAAATTTCTCCTAATCTGTTCAGATAAAGAAACAAACTCATTGATGACCTGAAGGTGTCAATTTTAAGGAAATTGTCATTTTTGGGTGAACTATTCCTTTCAACTGAAATACATCTGGCTAACATAATTTCTTATTTTAATGCATAGGGTGAAAAAGGTGAACCTGGTGCAAATGTAAGATGATCTGAAATGATTTTAAATGTACCATAAGGATGTAGTGTAGTGTTGCTACATTATATGCATTTTATTGTTATCTTATATGAATTATACATTTGCATGAATTCTTACAATTTTGAATTGCATTGATGTTACACTAAAGTAAAACATTACCACATTTACAATAAAAAAAAATACACTTTCACAGCTCTCGCTGCTGAAGGCCTTGATTGACAGGCTGCTGCACGATGGAATGGAGGAGCTTCTTCATGAGATCAGCACCATCAGAGACGTGAAAGGAGACAGACAGGAGCCAGACTCAAACATCATCACTGAATACACCGTGAGTAGCCTCCTGAACTTATGAAACATCTCAGGTAAACAAATTACTATAATAATCATAAAAAAAACTCTGATTTAATGAGTCTGTAGAACACTTTTTGTCATTTTGCTTAATCTCAGCTGAAATAAAGAAGTTAGCTAAAATATGTAAAGTAATAATAATAATAAATCCAACAATTATATGCACTTTAAGGTTATCTTTAGTTTATCATAATTAAAGTGACTGGAGTTAATGCTGTGCTTTTCAGGGTTTTGTGTGTGTGTGCATGTCTGTTTAATTTAACAGAAAGGAGATCCTGGACGTGCTGGGATAACTGGTATGCCTGGTTTACCTGGGACACCTGTGAGTATAGTGACATTTACAGCAGATATAAACCATAAAATCTCTATAACAAAGCCATTAATTTCCTCTTTCCTCTTATCTTCTGTTCTCTTCTCTTGTAGGGCAAACCTGGTGTTGATGGGACACGTGGAGTAGCTGGAAAAGATGTAAGTGTAATATGTAGTTCTAAATGGCTTTGAACTTATTTATAAAATCAAACCACTGTTTTTTCCAGGGAGAACAAGGACAAAATGGTGATGAAGGGACAAAGGTTGGACAACAGAGTGATATGAACTACAATTCCATTATATTTAAAGGATTAGTTGTGCCAGAAATGAACATTTTATTTAAAAAAATGTACTCACCCTCAGGCCATCCAAGATGTTGATGAGGTTGCTTTATCATTGAACAGATTTTTTTAGAAATTTAGCATGACATCAGTTGCTCACCAATGGATCCTATACAGTTCAAACAGCTGATAAAAGCATCACAATAATCTAAACATAATCCACATGACTCCAGTCCATCAATTAATGTCTTGTGAATTGAAAAGCTGTGTGTTTGTAAGAAACAAATCCATTATTAAGATGTTTATATACCATACCATAATCTATAATAACGCTTCCTCCAGTGAAATTGTCCTCCCCTTTTGTCCTCTCAATTCAAACTCCATATTCGTATTTGTGAAGAACTGTTTTGGACAGTTTTTGCTTGTAAACGGTGCTTGATCTGTGCATATTTCTCTCCTGATTCAGACAAGACAACTTTTTCACTGTAGAAAGCAATAGTATGCATAGAAGACTTGTATTTTAGCAGGAAGTAATGGTTTGAAGTTAAAAAACATCTTTGTGATTAATTCATTTATTACAAACTTGCCGCTTTTCACTTCACAAGACATTAATTGAAGTCGTGTGGATTATTGTGATGTTTTTATCGGCTGTTTATACTCTCAACATCCATTCACTGCAGAGGATCCATTGGTGAGCAAGTGATGTAATGCTAAATTTCTCCTAATCTGTTCAGATAAAGAAACAAACTCATTGATGACCTGAAGGTGTCAATTTTAAGGAAATTGTCATTTTTGGGTGAACTATTCCTTTCAACTGAAATACATCTGGCTAACATAATTTCTTATTTTAATGCATAGGGTGAAAAAGGTGAACCTGGTGCAAATGTAAGATGATCCAAAAATCAAACATGTAATGCAACAATTCTTTGTTTAAATGCAATTTTAACTGTGGTACAATTAAATGGTTTGTTTATATCCATTATGTTCATTATATGTTCCTTATTTTTGCCATTTTAACTGCTTAGGGAAATGAAGGTAAAAAAGGAGAGCTAGGATCACCAGGCTTGCCAGGTCCTCCTGTTGTTCTCCAAGAGGTAATTTGTTTGTTTGTCTGAGCTTAGGCAAACTTTATTTGTTACCATGACTGTTGGTAAATTATATTTGTGTTTGTTCTCAGGGTATGTCAATTGAGGACATTAAAAAGGCATTTCCCATACCAATGGGACCCCCTGGTGTGGTGGTGAGTTTCACATTAATGGCATTGTGAATATTCGCTTTTTTTACCAAAACAATCAACATAAAAAAAACTGTGCTTTCATGTTTTTCATGAGGTAGACCATTATCCGTTCATATTGCACTGACTTTCAGGTCTTACATGTGTGTGTATTTTTCTGTGTTTGCAGGGTCCTCCTGGGATGAAGGTAAAATATAGTTTGGCAAAAAACCTTGAAGAAATGAAAAGTTTCTCAGGCGATATGTAATTTTTCTCCTTTGGTTGGCAGGGAGAGAAAGGAGACATGGGTTTGAAAGGAGAGAAGGTATCAAAGCTTTCTACATCTCATTGATTGCACAAGTTATCTCCATAAATCTATGCTGCAGAAGCAATGATAGCTGGCGCTGTATTATTTAACAGGGTGATGCTGGCCCACCGGGGAGAGCTGTTGAAATGAAGGTTACTCAATGCCTATACATAATTTACTTCATTACAAAACTGATCTTATGTGGTGTAAACATTATGTTCTATTTTAGGACATTGAAGGCTTGTTTGATTCTTATGGTATTAAAGTAAGTGTTCTGTATTTTTAAACAGTTTTTTTTTAATCCTGCAGAAGTTCTGATGGCATAATGTTTGATTTTCTTACATAAAATTGACATTTATTAAAATAATAATTATGGGAGGAGGGTCATTTTGTATCCTAGAGGCAACACTATGCAATGGAATGACTTGAATGAAAAGATTTATTTATTTGAATATTTGTAGGCAAATTAAATGGCTATATAATTTTTACTGATATCAGAATACTAAATGTTATAAAACATTATGTATTCGTGCAGTAGGTGTTTTGTGAACTAATAACAGAATATAATAAAACTGGCTGCCAGATGAACTTTTACTTCACTTTTGCTCAGATATTTCACTTGAATATTTAATATTAATTGCATGCACGATTTACTATTAATAACTAAAAAACTTTTGATATAATAGTTAATATTTATGCTAAAAACATGCTTTATAAATAAAATATAATAAAAATATAAATTTGGAACACTTGGGACATGATAACTGCAAAATTCTCAATGGAGGCATCCATTACATCCATAACATATGAAGTTTACTCACTAACAAATGAAAATCATGAAATGATTTTAAATGTACCATAAGGATGTAGTGTAGTGTTGCTACATTATATGCATTTTATTGTTATCTTATATGAATTATACATTTGCATGAATTCTTACAATTTTGAATTGCATTGATGTTACACTAAAGTAAAACATTACCACATTTACAATAAAAAAAAATACACTTTCACAGCTCTCGCTGCTGAAGGCCTTGATTGACAGGCTGCTGCACGATGGAATGGAGGAGCTTCTTCATGAGATCAGCACCATCAGAGACGTGAAAGGAGACAGACAGGAGCCAGACTCAAACATCATCACTGAATACACCGTGAGTAGCCTCCTGAACTTATGAAACATCTCAGGTAAACAAATTACTATAATAATCATAAAAAAAACTCTGATTACTAGTCAACTAGATTTTTGGTTTGCGATCCATACCCACTATCAGCAATAATGTTCTTACTGTGTTAAGCCAATCTGAATCATAAGACCTAATCCACAGAGCTCAGTAAAGTACAGTCACCCACAAGAGTCATTACCTGATACGGGTTTGACTGAGGAAGAGTCTGATCTTGAAGAGGGGCAGATGCTTGAATCAAGTCCTGTAAGCAAACATTCGCTCCTGTATCAGTAATTACAACATCATTTTTCATAATCCATTTCTAACCGAACATCAACACACTTTATTCAGTTTTTTTTTCAGATATACTTGACTGATTTGTTCTGATATAGTGTTATCAATATTTAATCCAAGCAATACAGTTGTCGTTGTTTTTAATGTGGCTTCAGTGTCTTGTCTTATCTTTGTAAGAAGCCTGTAGTAGAAAAAGAAGTGGGTCGTACCCTTTCGAACATCTCTACTATTCACAAAAAGGCTGACTTGAGTAAAACCAAAGACAAGCTGGTAGATGTCGAAGAAAAACTTGTGGAGACCAACTTCGGTGATGTAACACCTTTTAAATTTCTCCAAACCAACACTTCCTCTGAGAGGGTATGCTTGCCAGTGATATTTTTTTTGTATTGTATTTAAGCTCATTGAAGTATGTATTTAGTGTAGTTTATAAAGAAAAATGTAAACCTGCACCTCATCACATAAGCTTAATATATTTTAAATCAAACTCATCAATTCAATTTACTGTATTTAAAACTTTAAAATAATTTGATTTTGATTTGAAATGTTTTTTTTTTCCAGGTTTATTTTAACTCCTTACCATTTATTGGCTACTTTTAAAATAATTTTCAAAAAGTAACATTTTTATTATTTATTTATTCATTAATTGTTTTTGTCATTTGGGTTCTGGGAAGGTAGAGGTAAGTATGGAGACAGTTTACCACAGCCATGAGGACACGGGGAAGAAAACCTCTGGAGAGAAGAAGAAAAGCAGAGAGAGGGGAAAGGTAAACTGATCGTGCTAGGTTATATAGATGAGTTTCAGGCTTAGTTCTGTGTTGTGCTTACAGTAAATTAACAGAATATCAGATAATAAAGAGTCAAATTAGCCATAAACAGGTTTTGGATATTAAATAGACAAATATCTTTATTCTGGTGAAAATTTTAATCTGTTTAGTAATAGTAAAAACCTAACCAGACATAATTAGAACTAAACATTACAATTAAATATTAAATGTCATGGCCACTAACCTCCTGAATGTCTCTAAATATTTCTGATGATTGTTATTTAAAGCCTTCTCATAAATTATGATGATTCTCAACCACTAAACTCTCAACCAGGGCAAAGGAAATAAAGGACGTCAAAAACGACAAAGGAAACGTTTGGTAAATGTTTTATCATCGCACCTAACCTGACATTCACACATCATTCACATCCAAGCAAACTTCATTCTAGATTTGAACCTTATGACCATTACATTTTTGTGATTACTTAAATATTCTGATATACTAGATATATTATAGACTTGTCTAAATATGCCTAAATATTTCATTTAAAAAAGCACAAACCCTAAGTGATTTATAAACATACACTTAAATCAAATATTAAATGCACATAATCATAATGTATAATTAATCTAACAAATATGCTACAGATTTCTCTAATCACAGTCATTATACTCCCACTAAAAGAACAAAGAATGAATGAATATTCTGTCACCATTTGCTCCCCTTCAACCTGTATGACTTTAATGGAATTTAAATTTTGGTTGAATTATAACTACTTAAATCCTCCATGAAGCATGATTACCAATATTGTTATTTTAGTCTGTTGTGTTAATCGTGTCTAATAGTAAATGTGTTTCTAATCTCTTCTCACTGACACTGTTACATCTCATGTTCTGTCTAATCCTTGATCATTAGAAGGCAGAAATCATTTCTCTTATTACTGTAAATTACAGGAAGATCAAGACAACATGGAAGACGAGGTTGAGGAAGCATCATCTGACGACGAGGAATATGAATATGAGGTAAATCCGTCACATGATCCTATTGTGAAATCTAATGTAAGACACCTCGATGATGGCAAATACACTGATGTGATTCATAATCTCAAAAGATATTGCATAGTACATCAGATTTTGTCTATAATGTGTTGACACATTCATAATAAATTGAATGGGACCTGACATGTCAACCCACGCTAATCACCTGAGTTTACCTCATATCTCCCTCACTCACACCCACACTGGAGAGTCCAGTCACACCGTTCACGTCACACTTAACAGAGCCTTAATATATTACTCCCACTCCACAGCCAAAAGAAGAAACCGTAATCACTACTAATTAATGTTGAGTAGTTATTCTCATAATCTCTCATCACTTGCTTTCCGTTTGTATCTTTAACCAAGGGAATGTTTTACACACTGAAGACATTTTTTCATGAACTTTTCACATTGATTTTTGAATGTTTTGTTTGTATCATGTCAGGACGAGGTGCCCACGGAAGAGCCTTTTCCCTCTCGAGAGGAGAAGGGCGAAGGGGAGGAGGTGAGTATTATTAAAACCAAATCAAATCACAATAAACACACATACATACACAACTGGAAGCAGACACAGTCACAGTGTAGATGAATAGAGGTTACAGTGGAATAATGTTTCATCAGTACAATATGCTATGGCACTGAGCTGAAGGTTTTTTTTTTTTTTTGGAACGCTGTTTTTGTCCTCAGCTAAAATACTCCGCAACAACAGCTATATACACACAAGAAAATGAGGTAAGAATGTCTGTTAAACCTTTCTTTTTAATATTACTTATAATTTTAAATGGTTATGGTTGAATAGGATGCTATTGAAAAATTGTGCTATTTAAAAAAATTTGCAATTTACACAGGGTGAAACAACTCCTCCGATTACGCAGTCTTTAGAGGAGATTACACTGGTAAGAATATACACTACCGTTCAACAGTTTGGGGTTGTTTCGATTTTTTTGGTGTTTTTGAAAAAAAAAGTGGTTATGCGCACCAAAGCTGCATTTTTATTTAATTATAAATAAATATCCATTCACTGCAGAGGATCCATTGGTGAGCAAGTGATGTAATGCTACATTTCTCCTAATCTGTTCAGATAAAGAAACAAACTCATTGATGACCTGAAGGGGAGTCAATTTTAAGGAAATTTTCATTTTTGGGTGAACTATTCCTTTCAGCTTAAATAAATTTGGCTAACATCATTTCTTATTTTAATGCATAGGGTGAAAAAGGTGAACCTGGTGCAAATGTAAGATGATCCAAAAATCAAACAATGCAACAATACTTTCTTTAAATGCAATTTTTAACTGTGGTACAATTAAATGGTTTGTTTATATCCATTATGTTCATTATATGTTCCTTTTTATTTAATTTATTTAATAAAAATACAGTAAAAGCAGTGATATTGTGAAATATTATTGCAGTTTAAAATAACTGATTTATATTTGAATATATTTCAAAACGTAGTTTATTTCTGTGACGACAAAGCTGAATTTTCAGAAGCCATTACTCCAGTCTTCAGTGTCACATGATCCTTTAGAAATCATTCTAATATTTTATTGCATGACAAAATAATTACCTTTATCAATGAATTTCACCAGCGCAAACAATATCTTGTGCAAGTTCAAATGCATTTTAAACAGTCAACTTCAGTGTATTAACTAAGTGTAAGTTTCAAGAACATTAAAAGAATAAATAATGAAACATCCTCGTGAAGTAACACGGTGGCATCCCAGCATGCACTGTTCTTGATTTTTCAGTCATGATTTTTCACTTGCAGTGCAGAATGAAACATTAAACATGCTTCATAGTCTACAGATTTTGTAGTAAATATACAGCCATTACTCCAGTCTTCAGTGTCACATGATTCTTCAGAAATAATTCTAATATGCTGATTTGGTGCTCAAGAAACTTTTCTCGTTATTATCAATGTTGAAACCTTGGTACATAATCAAAGTCTTTTTACTGTCACCTATGGTCAATTTAATGCGTCCTTGCTGAATAAAATTATTAATTTCTTTAAAAAATATATTTTACTGACCTACATTTTTTTTAACAGTAGTTTTGGTATATTTTACATAGTTTGTGTTTTTTTTTTTTTTTTGGATCATTCATAATTTATTGTTTAATTACTTTAACATGTCCTCTCAATGTGCTTTTAGATGGTTTACACAACAACAGCGAGTCCCCTGCTTTCATCAAAATTCACAGAGCAGGTTCTTGTTCGACCCAATGTTAATTTCAGCAGCTTACTGCATGTGATACACATTAAATCATTTTATATGTTTTACAGAAGCCGCCTGAAACCACGTTATTATCAGTGCTAAATACAACACAAACTGGAGAAGAGGTAAGAGCTTCTGTCTCTTGCCTTTTTGCTCTCTTATATTCCACAGCTCATGCACTGATATGCTCCAAGACTTGCATGTGGCTTTAGTTTGAAGCATGATTAAACATGCTTCATAGTCTACAGATTTTGTAGTAAATATACAGCCATTACTCCAGTCTTCAGTGTCACATGATTCTTCAGAAATAATTCTAATATGCTGATTTGGTGCTCAAGAAACATTTCTCGTTATTATCAATGTTGAAACCTTGGTACATAATCAAAGTCTTTTTACTGTCACCTATGGTCAATTTAATGCATCCTTGCTGAATAAAATTATTAATTTCTTTAAAAAATATATTTTACTGACCTACATTTTTTTTAACAGTAGTTTTGGTATATTTTACATAGTTTGTGTTTTTTTTTTTTTTTTGGATCATTCATAATTTATTGTTTAATTACTTTAACATGTCCTCTCAATGTGCTTTTAGATGGTTTACACAACAACAGCGAGTCCCCTGCTTTCATCAAAATTCACAGAGCAGGTTCTTGTTCGACCCAATGTTAATTTCAGCAGCTTACTGCATGTGATACACATTAAATCATTTTATATGTTTTACAGAAGCCGCCTGAAACCACGTTATTATCAGTGCTAAATACAACACAAACTGGAGAAGAGGTAAGAGCTTCTGTCTCTTGCCTTTTTGCTCTCTTATATTCCACAGCTCATGCACTGATATGCTCCAAGACTTGCATGTGGCTTTAGTTTGAAGCATGAACTAACTAGAGCTTTGGAAATCATTCTTTAAGCATGTTTGTTGGATGTTTTAGCTTATTGCAACTGATTAATTCATTTCTTTGAGTCATTTAATTGGCATAAATATTGTAAAATGTCTTTTAATTTATGTTTTTATTGCATGACAAAATAGCCTTCACTTTATCAATGAATTTCACCAGTGCAAACAATATTTTGCGTAAGTTCAAATGCATTTTAAACTGTCAGCTTTAGTGTATAAATTGTGAGTTTCAAGAATATACAAAGAATAGCTAATATAATATCATGAAGTAACACACTGGCATCCCAGCATGCACTGCATTTGATTTTCAGTCATGATTCCTCTGGTTTGTGCACTTGCAATGCAGAATGACACATTAAATGTGCTTCATAGTCACTCTTTACTGATCAACTACAGGTTTTCTTTAATATATTTATTTGCTTAACACAGGAGCTCCTCTAAACTCTGTAAGAGAGACATTCAAGTGTGTAGAAACTGTGAAGGGTAAAAGAGGGGGAGGATCTGACTGGCCGGCATTACTTTGGGAGAGCCTCCTTTCCCGTCGCACAATGATGATGTTATTCATCCATGTTGCCTCCACCACGACTAGCGTTCAGTATGCTGCAGTGCCTTTGATAGATTGAGAAGAACCGCCGGCGCTCTCTGAAGAGAGACCAGCCCAGTAAAAACATAAAGAACAGATCTTGTAGTGTGCTGTCTTTACACTTACTGAACAAATGCAAGCTAAATCATCTATAATCCATGTAAAAGTGACAACACAAAACACTATCGAATGAAGTTGTTTTAATAGAAAATCAAATAATTTGCCCTGACAGCTCATTCAACATCGATTTGTTCATCAGTTCCTTATTTATTGATAAGACTGAAAAAAGATTGTATTTTGGTTGTCTGCATATTTCGTTTTTCATTTGCGGTAACATATTGTGCTACCCGTTTTCACTGGTGAAATTCAATGGCATATTGCTTTTCTTTCATATTTAATCTGTTTGTGCATGTCTGTCAGTAAATGTGTTCTTCCTAAACCAGTCTTAACCAGAGTCTTTATTGTGTGTTTTGTGTGTTTAATTCTTTCAGTCATGCTTCATAACATTTTTTAATTATATTGATCAAATAAATTGGTACCATATCAATTATTGGCCGATATGAGATATTTTAATTGATCAGTATCAGTTAATTTTGTGTGTCTAATTGCTTATGCTCACTTTTCCCTATTTTTAATTTTAGATTACCATTATTAAGTTAATTGGTAACACTTTACAATAAGTGTTCATTTGTTAACATCACTTAACATGAACTAACAATAAACAATACTTCTATAGCATTTATTAATCATAGTTAATGTTAGTTGATGTAACTAATCAAATTAGTTAATGAATTAACATGAAGATTTTTATCTATGAACATTAACAAAGGTTAATAAATGCTGTAAAAATATATTGCTATCAAATGATTTATGACTGACCTTATTGTAAAGTGTTACCAGTTAATCGTACAATAAATAAAACACTAGTAATTTAATAACACTGTTTAATGCATTCTTATAGCAAATCTCAGAATGAAAATTTGATTTTTTTTCATATTGTACATTATAAGGTTTTGATGCCTAAATTCACTTGTAGCATTTAAAATTATTGATTTAATAATTAAATACAGTAAAGTAGTGATGTAAAAATGTACCTGAAACTCCTGTTTATAAGACTGTTTGGGTATAAACAGGTAAACTTGTCCCACAATAGCGGCCTGGAAGGGGCAAGATGTAAAGTGAAGAGGAGTGCCCCTTCATCTGAGCACATGGTAAAACATCTGATTCATAACAGTTCACTTAATGTTTGACGAGAATTTCATTTGCGCATAGAATAAGCATCTTAATGAAGCACAAATCATGTGTGTCTTGTGTAGGCCTACATGCCTGGAACACCAGGAGGACAAAACCTTTACAAACAAGGATCTAAGGTAATGAAAACTGAATTACAGTGACATATTTAGTGCTTATGATTCAATAAGCTCATCTTAGAGAGCTGCAGATGTGATTGCATGATGTAATGGAGGGAACAAAGTAAAATTTTATCTCATCATCTTTTAGCGGTCCACCTCAGGTGCACGAGGCAACAAGAAGCTAAATGTGAGTGAGTTTAATCTACGTAAAAAAAAAAAAAAAAAAAGAGGAATTCATAGCACTTAAAAGAATATTCATCCAAAAATTAAATCTCACCCTCAGGCCATCCGAGATGTAGATGAGTTTGTTTCTTCATCAGAACAGATTTGGAGAAATGTAGCATTACATCACTTGCTCAACAATGGATCCTCTGCAGTGAATGGGTGCCGTCAGAATGAGAGTCCAAAGAGCTGATAAAAACTCACAATAAAAAGTTCTCACACTTGATTTTTCTGTTATTCTTGTAGAAAACAAAGACCTTGAGCCTGTGACAGAGATGTACAGGGAAAGAGAGAGGGAAGAACGGGGGGAGAGAGAAGACAAAGTCTACCCTGAGAACAAGGAAAGTGTGATTGAAGAGGACAAGACAACTGAGGCACAGTGGGACATGGAGGAAGAGGATGGTGCGATTGAGACCAAGGAATACAGTTCAGGTGATGGTGATGAGGAGATCTTTGAGCTGAGAAAAAGAAAGGATTGAGCTGGAACGAGAAAGAGAAGTAGAACTGGAAAGGGAGAGAGAGCTAGAGAGGGAGACAGAGACAAAAAATGGAATGGGAGAGACAAAGAGAAAAGATGTAGAGAGAGAGGATGGGAGAGACAGATGGAGAAGAAGACAAGGGGCCCCATATTTCCCACTGTGATCACCTGAAGGTAAGTATGTGCTTTAAAATCTTTAGTTTTCCAAATATTCAACATTGTCTCATACTTTTGGGCCCCAATGTAATTACTGTGATTATATTATAATTATATAAAATCTATTTTAATTGAGCTATAGGAGAACTTTCTTTTATCATAATGTACACAAAAATTTAAAAAACGATTCCATGGTTATTTTAATGTTTAAAATTAGATTTTGAATCCCAGATTTTCAGTGTGGTCTTTATAGGCTATCTGCAAATAAACAAATTGTGTATTGGATGTGCATTTTTCCTTTCTTGTACAGGGACCTCCAGGTGAAAATGGAAAACCAGGCCCTAAGGTTAGGCAATCTTTTTCATTATAAATCGGAACGATCTGTTCTTGCTAATAAGCATGATAGTCTCGTCCTGATAAATAATGTTATTTGAGCAATGCTCTCGTCAGCTCTTATTAGTGACTAAGCTCTGTGTGTTCCTAAACCAAAGTCTGTTAGATAATCATTCCTGCTTTCTGATTGGACTGCAGCTCACCCACACATACGACATCCCCGCCTCCTCATTCACAATGTTAGGAAATTATTACTGCCTGTCAGACTGGGGGGGTGAAATTTCAGCAGTGCCCTTCCACTTGCTTTGAATCCCCAGAGCAGGGGTCACCAAACTCGGTCCTGGAGGGCCGAAGTCCCGCAGAGTTTAGCACATACTTTGACAGTTTTATCTTCTATCACCAGGGAGACAGTATCCCAGGAGAACCAGGTGACAGAGGAATTCCTGGGGTCGCAGGGTAATATTATGATAATTGTTATTTCTGATTTTTTTTCTGTAGTAGCATATTAGTTTGTTGCTGAAGTAAATAAATTATGAATTCTAAAACCTAAGGCTAGATTTGTTAAACAGGACAAATTTGCACAAGACTGCAATCACATAAAAGTGCTGAGTAAAAGTCCTGTACTAGGAAATCACGTTTCATGATTTATTTAAATACTCTCGTACCATAAATGAAAGTGTCTGAAAGGGAAACTTCTACAGATGCATATGCAATAAGGTCAGCTGCAAAAATGTCCATGCCTTTTAATCACAATTTTTTCTCTGCGTGTCTTTAGTACAGTGGTTCTCAACTGGCTTGGTCATGGGACCCACATTTTCCCATGGTCATCAATCTCACATTTTATATGATTTCTTTCTTATCTGTCTCAGCTTGACTTTTTTCCACATTTTTAAGTTACTTTGAATAAAAGCATCAGCTAAATGAATGGGTAAACAGACTGTTTTGATTCAATAAGATGTCATGATTCTGTAATGTGTTAATTTCTCGTTTCTCTTTGACCTTTCTCTTTAATTAAGGGTCCTAAAGGCATGACAGGTATGAAAGGAGAAAAGGTGTTATTTTAATGACAAATGTCGAGAGCACATTATATTAATGTGCTTTCGCGCTACAATAATGCGCTCTCGACATTTGTCATTAAAATAACGCCCTAAGTGTCTATTTTAACCCATCTCAGTTCGAAATTCGAAAGAAGTTCACAAGATAGAAGGGCTTTAAATATTAAAGCCAAGCCAACTTTGCCAGGGTCGTTTTCTGGGGATCAAAGACTTATAGGCAGCTTTGACAGCACTGCTGTGCTCACAGAGCCTCTCTTCTCTCTGTATTGACTTGCCAGTGCCTTCTCTTCAAACCTTTCTCTGCTAAAGCCAATCTTTGTATGGTTGAAATTGCTGTGAACAGCACTTTCTTTTTACAGGCATACACACTCGCTCTAACGTCACAATCTGCGTCAATTGTGAATGATATTGGTTTTATTTTCTTCAGCATAACTGTATGACAGATTCACATATATAGTGAACATTTGTAGTGTCTAAACAATACCACTTACAACCCTAGAAACATTTGACAGCCCATCTGACATATCAGTTTAGTCTCAATTGTTTAGAATATATGCCAGACAAAATTAATAAAGGCAAAACTTTTTGACTGACAGGGTGACAAAGGTGTGCCTGGTCACAGAGGAGACAAGGTAAGGACAGCATAAGCCTAGATTGAATAACTGCATGGTGGTTATTTTGATTCTTTCACCAACTACCAAACCTGCTGGTTTTGTAGGGTAGTCCTCTCTCCATGCCAGGACCCAGAGGATATAAGGGTCTAAAAGGAGAGCCAGTGAGATATTTCTGCATTTTAAATTCTCATTTCACTATAATGTTTCCCACAAAGGCCATACTAGTGCAAACAGAGTTTTTAATTAAGTATAAATCAATGACAGATACAGGGCAATGTATGTTGACTTTCAGTCTGAACTGTACATGGCAGGGTGAACGTGGGCTTCCAGGATTTGTTGGAGATAAAGGAGAGAAGGTTGAAGATGGTCCACCTGGTGCAAAGGTATTTTATACACTGTTCGATTTTTTTTTAAATAAATGAATATTTGTATTCAGTAATGCATTAAATGAATGAAAAGACAGTAAAGACATTTACATAAAAAAAAAATATATATATTTCTATTTAATAAATTCATCAAAGAATCCTGGAAAAATGCATCTCAGTATCCACAAAAATGTTCAACATTGATAATAAGAAATTGTTTCTTGAGCACCAAATCAACATATTTGAAGAATGATTTATGAAGGATAATTTGAAACTGGAGTAATGGCTGCTGAAAATCCATCTTTGCCATCACTGCAATAAATAAAAAAATATTTAGAGAATATTAAAATAGAAAATATTTAAATTGTAATAATATTTCATAAGACATTTCAAGATCTTAACGGTAGTGTATGTATGGTACCGGTAGAGAGTCATGTATTTGGACCGTATAAAGTGAATTTCTAGTACTTGTTTCATGTAATTTCAGGGGGCTGAAGGGTGAGGCTGGTATTAAAGGAGGCATGGGGCCTTTTGGCACACGCGGTCCAGTAGGACAAATGGTCAAAATTAGCACTACTATGTATATGCACTATATTGCTTGAAATTGAAATTGCTGCATTTTTTTTTTGTATGGATTATATTGTTTTGAATGGCATGTTATATCCAGTATATTTTGGGTGTGAAGGTACAATTATTTTCTTAGGGAGATCCAGGAGAGCCAGGCGCCAATGGGGAAAAGGTAGCCTTGTTGTAATATTTCCATAACGAATGTTTGAGATGTTTAGATTTTTTAGGCATTTTGCATGTATAACTTTTGTTAAATACCTCTGATCGGCAGAGAGTTGTCACAGGGTCGTAATGGAGAACATGGACTGGATGGTGAGAAAGGTGATAAAGGAGACATGGGCCTGCAGGGCCGAAAGTGAGATCAGATGGGAATATGAATTAACTGAATTAAATATTAATTCATAAGAAATTTGTCCATGCAACAGGGGTAACTGAGAGGGAGAACACTGTTCCTTTAACCTTTCTTACTAACTACATTATTTAGATGAATGATTAAATAAGTAGGCTTTCCTGTGAGTTTTTTTTTTTTTTTTAAGTAACACACTTCATTCATGGACATAGACTCATTGGTTTCTGTGTTCAGGGTGAGACAGGAGAGCCTGGTTTACCTGGAGATACAGGAATTAAAGGTGAGAAGGTACGAAATGTCAATCTTGTCTTTACTTTTTGTGTTTACTCACCTGTCTGTAACCATTGAATCACAAAACTTATTTTTCTGTAGGGCTTTAGAGGTTTCCCTGGTCGAATAGGGAGTCCAGGACTGGATGAGAACAGGTATTTTTTGGCTAAATTTCATCTTAAATTGGAAATTGGATTAAATAAACCACTAAGCACATTTCTTTTGACTGTAAATCACAAGGGTGATTCTGGGGACCGACAAGACAACTGAGGCACAGTGGGACATGGAGGAAGAGGATGGTGCGATTGAGACCAAGGAATACAGTTCAGGTGATGGTGATGAGGAGATCTTTGAGCTGGAGAGAGAGAGAGACAGGAGATGGAAAAAGAAAGGATTGAACTGGAACGAGAAAGAGAAGTAGAACTGGAAAGGGAGAGAGAGCTAGAGAGGGAGACAGAGACAAAAAATGGAATGGGAGAGACAAAGAGAAAAGATGTAGAGAGAGAGGATGGGAGAGACAGATGGAGAAGAAGACAAGGGGCCCCATATTTCCCACTGTGATCACCTGAAGGTAAGTATGTGCTTTAAAATCTTTAGTTTTCCAAATATTCAACATTGTCTCATACTTTTGGGCCCCAATGTAATTACTGTGATTATATTATAATTATATAAAATCTATTTTAATTGAGCTATAGGAGAACTTTCTTTTATCATAATGTACACAAAAATTTAAAAAACGATTCCATGGTTATTTTAATGTTTAAAATTAGATTTTGAATCCCAGATTTTCAGTGTGGTCTTTATAGGCTATCTGCAAATAAACAAATTGTGTATTGGATGTGCATTTTTCCTTTCTTGTACAGGGACCTCCAGGTGAAAATGGAAAACCAGGCCCTAAGGTTAGGCAATCTTTTTCATTATAAGTCGGAACGATCTGTTCTTGCTAATAAGCATGATAGTCTCATCCTGATAAATAATGTTATTTGAGCAATGCTCTCGTCAGCTCTTATTAGTGACTAAGCTCTGTGTGTTCCTAAACCAAAATCTGTTAGATAATCATTCCTGCTTTCTGATTGGACTGCAGCTCACCCACACATACGACATCCCCGCCTCCTCATTCACAATGTTAGGAAATTATTACTGCCTGTCAGACTGGGGGGGTGAAATTTCAGCAGTGCCCTTCCACTTGCTTTGAATCCCCAGAGCAGGGGTCACCAAACTCGGTCCTGGAGGGCCGAAGTCCCGCAGAGTTTAGCACATACTTTGACAGTTTTATCTTCTATCACCAGGGAGACAGTATCCCAGGAGAACCAGGTGACAGAGGAATTCCTGGGGTCGCAGGGTAATATTATGATAATTGTTATTTCTGATTTTTTTTCTGTAGTAGCATATTAGTTTGTTGCTGAAGTAAATAAATTATGAATTCTAAAACCTAAGGCTAGATTTGTTAAACAGGACAAATTTGCACAAGACTGCAATCACATAAAAGTGCTGAGTAAAAGTCCTGTACTAGGAAATCACGTTTCATGATTTATTTAAATACTCTCGTACCATAAATGAAAGTGTCTGAAAGGGAAACTTCTACAGATGCATATGCAATAAGGTCAGCTGCAAAAATGTCCATGCCTTTTAATCACAATTTTTTCTCTGCGTGTCTTTAGTACAGTGGTTCTCAACTGGCTTGGTCATGGGACCCACATTTTCCCATGGTCATCAATCTCACATTTTATATGATTTCTTTCTTATCTGTCTCAGCTTGACTTTTTTCCACATTTTTAAGTTACTTTGAATAAAAGCATCAGCTAAATGAATGGGTAAACAGACTGTTTTGATTCAATAAGATGTCATGATTCTGTAATGTGTTAATTTCTCGTTTCTCTTTGACCTTTCTCTTTAATTAAGGGTCCTAAAGGCATGACAGGTATGAAAGGAGAAAAGGTGTTATTTTAATGACAAATGTCGAGAGCGCATTATATTAATGTGCTTTCGCGCTACAATAATGCGCTCTCGACATTTGTCATTAAAATAACGCCCTAAGTGTCTATTTTAACCCATCTCAGTTCGAAATTCGAAAGAAGTTCACAAGATAGAAGGGCTTTAAATATTAAAGCCAAGCCAACTTTGCCAGGGTCGTTTTCTGGGGATCAAAGACTTATAGGCAGCTTTGACAGCACTGCTGTGCTCACAGAGCCTCTCTTCTCTCTGTATTGACTTGCCAGTGCCTTCTCTTCAAACCTTTCTCTGCTAAAGCCAATCTTTGTATGGTTGAAATTGCTGTGAACAGCACTTTCTTTTTACAGGCATACACACTCGCTCTAACGTCACAATCTGCGTCAATTGTGAATGATATTGGTTTTATTTTCTTCAGCATAACTGTATGACAGATTCACATATATAGTGAACATTTGTAGTGTCTAAACAATACCACTTACAACCCTAGAAACATTTGACAGCCCATCTGACATATCAGTTTAGTCTCAATTGTTTAGAATATATGCCAGACAAAATTAATAAAGGCAAAACTTTTTGACTGACAGGGTGACAAAGGTGTGCCTGGTCACAGAGGAGACAAGGTAAGGACAGCATAAGCCTAGATTGAATAACTGCATGGTGGTTATTTTGATTCTTTCACCAACTACCAAAACTGCTGGTTTTGTAGGGTAGTACTCTCTCCATGCCAGGACCCAGAGGATATAAGGGTCTAAAAGGAGAGCCAGTGAGATATTTCTGCATTTTAAATTCTCATTTCACTATAATGTTTCCCACAAAGGCCATACTAGTGCAAACAGAGTTTTTAATTAAGTATAAATCAATGACAGATACAGGGCAATGTATGTTGACTTTCAGTCTGAACTGTACATGGCAGGGTGAACGTGGGCTTCCAGGATTTGTTGGAGATAAAGGAGAGAAGGTTGAAGATGGTCCACCTGGTGCAAAGGTATTTTATACACTGTTCGATTTTTTTTTAAATAAATGAATATTTGTATTCAGTAATGCATTAAATGAATGAAAAGACAGTAAAGACATTTACATAAAAAAAAAATATATATATTTCTATTTAATAAATTCATCAAAGAATCCTGGAAAAATGCATCTCAGTATCCACAAAAATGTTCAACATTGATAATAAGAAATTGTTTCTTGAGCACCAAATCAACATATTTGAAGAATGATTTATGAAGGATAATTTGAAACTGGAGTAATGGCTGCTGAAAATCCATCTTTGCCATCACTGCAATAAATAAAAAAATATTTAGAGAATATTAAAATAGAAAATATTTAAATTGTAATAATATTTCATAAGACATTTCAAGATCTTAACGGTAGTGTATGTATGGTACCGGTAGAGAGTCATGTATTTGGACCGTATAAAGTGAATTTCTAGTACTTGTTTCATGTAATTTCAGGGGGCTGAAGGGTGAGGCTGGTATTAAAGGAGGCATGGGGCCTTTTGGCACACGCGGTCCAGTAGGACAAATGGTCAAAATTAGCACTACTATGTATATGCACTATATTGCTTGAAATTGAAATTGCTGCATTTTTTTTTTGTATGGATTATATTGTTTTGAATGGCATGTTATATCCAGTATATTTTGGGTGTGAAGGTACAATTATTTTCTTAGGGAGATCCAGGAGAGCCAGGCGCCAATGGGGAAAAGGTAGCCTTGTTGTAATATTTCCATAACGAATGTTTGAGATGTTTAGATTTTTTAGGCATTTTGCATGTATAACTTTTGTTAAATACCTCTGATCGGCAGAGAGTTGTCACAGGGTCGTAATGGAGAACATGGACTGGATGGTGAGAAAGGTGATAAAGGAGACATGGGCCTGCAGGGCCGAAAGTGAGATCAGATGGGAATATGAATTAACTGAATTAAATATTAATTCATAAGAAATTTGTCCATGCAACAGGGGTAACTGAGAGGGAGAACACTGTTCCTTTAACCTTTCTTACTAACTACATTATTTAGATGAATGATTAAATAAGTAGGCTTTCCTGTGAGTTTTTTTTTTTTTTTTAAGTAACACACTTCATTCATGGACATAGACTCATTGGTTTCTGTGTTCAGGGTGAGACAGGAGAGCCTGGTTTACCTGGAGATACAGGAATTAAAGGTGAGAAGGTACGAAATGTCAATCTTGTCTTTACTTTTTGTGTTTACTCACCTGTCTGTAACCATTGAATCACAAAACTTATTTTTCTGTAGGGCTTTAGAGGTTTCCCTGGTCGAATAGGGAGTCCAGGACTGGATGAGAACAGGTATTTTTTGGCTAAATTTCATCTTAAATTGGAAATTGGATTAAATAAACCACTAAGCACATTTCTTTTGACTGTAAATCACAAGGGTGATTCTGGGGACCCTGGCTGGCCTGGCATTCCAGGACTAAACGGTATCCCAGGACGAAAGGTGAGTCGAAACACAAACAGATATTGATAACCTCATCATCATTGTAAGGTTAAGTATAGGATTAATTGTTATTGTTAATGTTTAGGGAGAAAAAGGTGATAGTGATCTGAACGGTCTTGATGGAGCTCCTGGACAAAAAGGAGGGAAGGTAAAAATAATTATAAATAGTCTATAAATAAATAATACTAAAGTAACACTGTTATCATGTCACAACAAACATTAGAAAACCATACTTGCATCATCAAATGTCAAATTTTAATATGTGTACATGAGGGGATTTCATTTTGGATACGTTTCCCTGTCAAATATATTCATTTTAATTCATTTAAATCATCAAAATCATTTATTTAATCCATTCTTCTGCAGGGCTCGACTGGTTTCCCAGGTTTCACAGGGTTTTAAGGGATCTCCTGGTGCACCAGGAGCTAATGGGGCTCCGGGTCGGCCTGGTCCGGTTGGACCTAAAGGTGAAATGGGACCAAAGGTATGACCAACCCGCCTACACTTAGACAATAATATTTTCACAATAATAGAGCTGAATTTATTATTCCTATGTCTGTGTGATTCATCAGATAGATGGATAAATAGTCAAGCCAGTGTAATTATGGCCATCTTCATATCTCACTCAATCCCATGTGGAGGAACCGTGGAGGAGGACAAGGCCCTAATTAACCCCAAGAAAGACAGGATGAGAGAGAGATAGAGAGAGACGGGGGTAGGAGCTATTTCTGCTGGATGAAGATTTGAGCTATCAAACCAAACACTGCGCTAAGGCCGCCTTTAGCCACAATTACGCATCTCTTGATGTTGATAAGAATGGAGAGTGTTCAGCAAGCTGCACTCACAGAGTCTCTTTAGATAAAGGTGGACTGTACTTCAGCACAGAATCAGCAGACGATCTTAAAACATGAGGTATTTTCAGTGAGATGGATAAAGGTTGTTGAAATTGATGATGGTCTCTTACTAGTTTAGCATTTTCCGTGTATTAGCAGTTTAACAGGTTTCCTAACAATAATTATGTGAATATATTATTTTGTGTGTAATATAAATAAGTGTGTGTGTGTGTGAATGTGAGTAGTGTGAGTCGCACCGTTTCTGTTTTAAGCTACTCCAGACACTTTTTTTTTCTGCCAATCTGAGATAAAATAAATGTCACTGTAATGTGAATTGTTGATTCTAACCGTAACAGACAAAAATTTGTTCCGGCGGATGACGCAGCACGTATGCACAGCGCACGCACCTCTGAGATATGCTAGTCTCGCGAGTTTGTTTATAGGAGCAAAGGAAGCAAAGTTTCCTTACTTTAGCAAAGGAAAACCAGTCTCCTCTTGGTTTATATCGAAATCCTCTGGCATTTTTTTGTGCAAATCCTCAGTTTGTACTTCGAATTCATGACCGGCGTTTTGTTTTGTTCTCTCTCCGCGTTTGTCACTAATCACGCAACGCCGACGTCTTACGTCATCCGCCGGAATGGCTTACATGTATGACAGATAACGGAAGTGAGAAAAAAAGTGTTTATTACATTTGAAATATGGATATTTTTCTTACAAAAATGCATGGATTCACTACAGGAGGCCTTTATTCACCACCCGGAGCCATGTGAGGCACGTTTTATTATGGATGTGCATGCTTTATTTGACGACTTGTGAACTGTTCAACTGCAACACCCGCTGACTGCAATGATAGTGCTTGGAATAGCCAGGACAATTTTTTATATAACTCCGACTGGATTCGTCTGAAAGAAGAAAGTCACATACACCTAGGATGCCTCGAGGGCGAATAAAACACAAGCTAATTTTCATTTTGGGTGAACTAACTTTAAGTAAAGTTTATCAATTAAACATTATTGTAAAATATTACTCCCATTGGTTTGGTTATGCGTAGCCTCAGGATCAAACCTGATTGAACCAGGGTTAGCGATTGTTTCATGGTGATATGCAGCTTCTATGTATTACTACGCATCCAACATCAAAGTTTGATTTGATTGTCTGATCAACCCAGGGAGAGAAGGGGAGGAGAGGCAGAGGAAAGGCCTGTCAACGGGGACCTCCTGGAATTCCTGGCCTCAGAGACCTGGATGTAATAAGGCATCTACACACTGTATCCTCCACTCTATCAGGACTTTATCCATTCACAAACATGCTCAGTCAGTTATACATATCCTTTATGCAGGGGGAAATGGGAACCTCGGCATGAAAGGAGAAAAAGGGGAGCCAGGACTTGGTGTATGTTGACAATGCCCTCTTTTATGATATATTTATCATTACTGATATGTGATTAAATACTTATTAAACAATTTTCATTTGTTCAGGTGGATCTTGTGACAAAGGAGGTGGTTGAAAAGTGTGGTGAGTATGTGTGTATGCAAAGATTTAAAGATCGTACATAGTATTTTTTTTCTTGTTTTCAGTACAAATATATCCAAAAATTAATAAAGAGACATTTACTTTTGATAATTTTTCAGAAAACAAGACCTAATATCTTAAGTAATTTTGCTTCTGAAGTAAATGCATCTTGATTTGATAATGTTTAGATATTTGTACTGGAAACAAGACAAAAATACTGAGAAAGAAGTAAAAACTGAGTTTTTTGCAGTGCATTCCGTCTTACCGTATCCGATCAGACTGTTGGCTAAACAATTAATGTCAAGATATACAACAATACATTCCACTGAATAGATTGTTTGTCTATTCACGTTCAATTAAATATGGCTTCTACCTCCATAAAGATCTACTCAGTTGTGCACTGTACTGCGGTCCACTTAAGTGAAATCATGACTGAATAACAGAGCTTCATTAACACATGTATGTGGGTGGTTAGAAGTGTGTGATTTTGTGTATTTGTGTGCGTTTGTGTCTCTCAGTATATGTGTTTGGAGGCCCCTGTTGTGGAGGCCTCAGGACCCCATGGGTTCCACCATCTGTTGTGTTTTTATGGGCTCTCTTGCTGAAGAAAAACTGTGAAGAACTCCATGTTCGGAAGTCATTCATGAATACGAAAACTAAATTAACAAAACTGGGACTGTTTTTATAAAAAAAATTTGAAGCTATGACTTCTCTGGTTTAAAAAAAATCTAATGATTGAATTACTGTCTATTTGATTATGAAATTCAATGAATTAATGATTTGAACCTAATGACATTTGCCTAAAGCTTGGTCATGTTTCTAACTAAAAGAAAGGAAATATGGAAAGGAAACTCCTGATGGTGAACACCGATGATACAGATGATGGGAGTATCCTAAGGGAAGAGAGAAGAGCAGATTCTGCTTCTCCGTTCTTGCTCACCCACCCCAAAGTGTGGGATGAAGAGTTGGAGGACGAGACCAAAACAGTTCATCCTGCTGTTTCAGAGTCAGAGCCAACATTAGCATATGGCAACGTTACAAGTAGGTATATTCCTGCTTTGAACCAATATGTTATTACATGGTTTGTCTCTTATATAATATCATCCCTATATTTTGTGCTTAGGGCCTGGAAGGGTTTGGATGGGGAAACTCTAGTTTTATATAATCAGTTTTATGCTCAAATTAACTTCTGCTGTGTCTTGTGAACATTAGTCTTGATCTGGCATCTTTGTACTTGAGTTCATTCATCCATAAACACCATTCAGTTCTTTTTCCCTGATGGAAAACAGGAAGTCATACGCAAAGGTTCTGCATGGTCTACTTCTGTGTTATTTTAAGCAATTGAGTCACACTACAAAAAAATTAATCTGTGTTGTTGTTGTTTTAGTTTCAATCATATAGTAATTGCTCATGGCAGCCTGATGTTAATTTCAATGACCAAAACCAAGACATAGTACAGGTTATCTAGCTGGCTACATTATTATATGGTGTACACTTCAGATTAATAGAATAAATTAAGGAAAACGAATAAAGAATGTTCAAAACCACTGATGACCGATAACGTTTCCACTACTACACAAACACTTGGTCTTTATTTTTATTTTTTTTATCTATCTGTGTTTGCATGGTCCAGACAGTCAGTCATTGTTAGGCCATAGGTGGTGACAACTAAACATCTTTATGAGCGAGTCATCAAATCATTAATTCAACCGATTCATTCAAAAACAATTCATTTGATTAATTTAGGACGCTACTGCCACTACTGTGTGTCTGTGTTGCTTGGAAATGTGCAAAGGTTAATCAGGCATCTTTCTTATTTAATAAAATCATGTCAACTCAAATCAGTATTTCATGTCAGTGTACTTAATTAATTTAGTAAATATTCATGTAATATAAGATAAATATACCACCATTATTATGAAATAAACCCCATCCGGATGTCTTCTAGATGTTAACCTGTAACACATGCACACCTATGTGATTATGTTTGTGCAATGATATAGTGCTGCACTTGGTTTTAAAGGCGTAGTTCACCCTGAAATAAAACATTTTTTTTAATTTACTCACCTTCAGGTCATCCAAGAGTTCGATGAGTTTGTTTCTTCGTCAGATTTGGAGAAATGTGTCATTACATACTTGCTCACCAAAGGATCATCTGCAGTGAATGGGTGCCGTCAGAATGAGTCCAAATACCTAATAGAAACATCACAATAATCCACAAGTAATCCACACAACTCCAGTCTATTAATTAATGTCTGCATGCATAGCTTCAAATCATAGTTTCTGGCTAAAATATGAGTCCTCTATCCATAATATTGTTTTATGCAGTGAAAAGTTGTCTTGTCTGAATCAGGAAACCAAGCACCAAAACCGTTCAAAACAAATATGTATGTGGATTTTGATGAGAGAAGGCAACAGGGGATGAACTTTTTCACCAGAGGAAGCATTATTATGGAATATGGACTTGATTTTTGGCCAGAAGCAACAGTTTAAAGTTAAAATACCATAATGATGGATTTGTTTACTACATCACGTTTCTTTTCATGTCACAAGACATTAATTGATGGACTGTACCCTTTTGAATTATTGTGATGTTTTTAGCTGTTAGAACTCTCATACTGACAGCACCCATTCACAGCAGAAAATCCATTGGAGAGCCAGTGATGTAATGCTTAATTTCTCCAAATCAACAAACAAACTAATTTACATCTTGGATGACCTGAGGGTGAGTACATTTTTAGCAAATTTGGGTGAACTATTCCTTTAAATGTAAAATCTGTATATAATATATGCTTTCTGTTGCACTCAGGAGCCAGTACTGAGGGAGATGGAGAGCAGAGAGAAAAGAGATGTGCACTCAAATGCCACTCAGGTATGTGTGGAGTAAAAGAGGAGAACATCGTCCTCTGCTGACTGCTGCTCCAAGTGCTTTTAACGCGTTAATACAGCAACAGAAACTGCTCACATAAGCATTATAGTCTGATTTTTTGTACAAATTAAACCTGGTCCTTGAATAAAAAGGGTTTGCAGTGGGAATTTTGGTGTAATGTCCAGGAAAGTAGTCCAAAGTAGTACACCATAATGGTCCTGGCACCAAAAGCGCAATGCATAAGACATGGACAAGATTATTTTATGCAATACTTTTTTCGTTTTTTTTATCAGTCTATTTCTGTCACATCCACAGTATATATGAGACACAAGGAACGGAAACAGACAGATAAGAGCAGAATTAATCCACTGATAAAAACGATATTCAAATCATCACTCTGCAAGTGTGTAAGTTTGCGTGTATACAAGTGCATATGTGTGTGAGACAGAGAAAAAGAGATAAGACAGAGACAGAACATTTGACTGACAGTGAAATCCAAGATAAGTTTTGATTAAAAAGTGGAACTTTTGTTAGATTAATTGTTGCATTCTTGCAGACAGTGGTATATAAGCAGCTCAGCTACGTGATTTAATTGTCTATTTTAAATGTAATATATATATATATACTATATATATATACATTTTAATTTACATTCATTTCATTAGAACATTAGTTTGAATGCATTTATACTCCCTTGAAACTGATTATGCTGCCTCCATTAAATGCAGACCCAGCTGCTGATCTGTGCCTTGAACCCATGTCTGAGGGCCACTGCACTGAATACGTCCTGCTCTGGTACTACTACACTGTCTCAGGAGAATGCCGTCCTTTTGTGTATGGTGGCTGTGGAGGAAATAGGAACCGCTTCAGCTCCAAACAGGACTGTGAGAGTCAATGTATTCTGGGGAGGAGAGGTAAAGTGCTAATCAGAATTCAGGCTTCAGGTTCCAATATAAATGGTCAGAGGTGATTGTTCAAACGATGCTAAAGACATTCAGGTTTATTTATTTATTTATTAGCAAATTCATTTAATTACATTTACTTATCTATTTACAGATTCTGGGTCCTGAGGAGAAATGTGCTATTTTTAACAGCTAAACTGAAATTGATCTGACTAAAAATACAATTTTTATCCATCCTATATGTATATTAGTTTATCGCAGCTTTAGATGACGGAAAAAAATATTCTGTCATATTTACATTTCACTTCTATAGCACCACACATTGTTGCACTGTTGTAGTGAGTGATACATGCTTACCTATGAATTTCTTACAAATATGCCATGTTTTTATTAAAAAAACAGTTTGATGCTTAGTAAGTGAGGTCATGATACTAATGCACTATTAATATAACCAACTATGTGTTTAAATGTTACCATGAGGTTTACCATTTTGCACTAATGGTTCTGTTCTTAAAATGTTCTTAATCTAACGGTTTTAAAACTAATACGTGAGACAATTAAAACAATGAAATGAATATATTTTTGAATGAGCTATATAGCTCGCTGTGGGTTGGTGGGTGTGTGCGTGAGAACATTTTCACATCGTGACCTCTGATTTTGGACCGTGTTCTCTGAGCTTGGCCCTGTGTCTAATGCACTATTAATATAACCAACTATGTGTTTAAATGTTACCATGAGGTTTACCATTTTGCACTAATGGTTCTGTTCTTAAAATGTTCTTAATCTGACGGTTTTAAAACTAATACGTGAGACAATTAAAACAATGAAATGAATATATTTTTGAATGAGCTATATAGCTCGCTGTGGGTTGGTGGGTGTGTGCGTGAGAACATTTTCACATCGTGACCTCTGATTTTGGACCGTGTTCTCTGAGCTTGGCCCTGTGGTGTATATAAATGTTGCCATATTGGCTTTTCCTCAGAAATGTTTGTCGAGTCGTGTCTGGACGGTGTCTCCTGGGGGCAGGCGGAGGTGGTGTGTGTGTGTGTGTATTTGAAGCAAATAGACTATCTGCATTTGTGGGTGGCTGATATGTGCACATTTGTGAAAGTATGTGTTTCCTTCCTCATTATTTTTACCCTCCTTTGACATTCATTCTGTTCAGTGTCTCCTGGGGGCAGGCGGAGGTGGTGTGTGTGTGTGTATTTGAAGCAAATAGACTATCTGCATTTGTGGGTGGCTGATATGTGCACATTTGTGAAAGTATGTGTTTCCTTCCTCATTATTTTTACCCTCCTTTGACATTCATTCTGTTCTGTCTTATATAATCCCCCAAGCAAGCTGCTCCCTGTTGCATACCGAGGTTTCTCGCTCTTTACATATGTCCCAGCGGCAGGGGGCCTGTGTAGCAGGAGGTCCTTAGTCCAATTTCGAGACTGTGGTACAGTGTGTCTAAGGGGATCCCTGAGTGAACTTCATTGTGTACACTACAGAGAACAGATGCTCTTTACACCTGCTTTAAAATGTAGCCTGTAGTGTTTAAGGTTTAATGAGCTTCCTTTTAACGTCATGTGGAATAAATATATTATCGTCCAGCCCAATGCACAATGTTTACAATGTATAAAGGTGATCGTTTATGAAGTCTCCAAACTTCTGAGCCCTTGATAGCAAAGCAATTAATCATTAAAGTGAGGTGGGAAGAAAACTCATTAAACTTATAAACATAAACTGCAGTGCAATTAACTCACAGGGAAGTCTAAAAATGGACAAACATTTGATATGGTCATTGACCCTGAAAACTGAGAGAACAATAAAACAGACACTTTTAAATCTTATAAATGGCTTAATACAGATGCAAACTAAATAAATTGATGTGCTGTCCATGGTACTGAATGCCTTTAGATGAGTGGGTAAATTCTCAATATGCCCGCTAAATTATAAACCTTATAACTATTTTATTCTGACATAGAGTGGTCAATTAGTATGTATAACGAACTATAAATTGTTTATAAATTGTTGCGCATGATAACATACTGAACACTATCAGAACGATCAATTGAATGAAAAAAATAAAAGGATGTTACTTTGTAGCTAAATATATTAGATGACTAGTTTATTTAAGATTATTAGATAAATAATGGCTTATATTAACACTGTAGTATTGTTACAGTATTTGTCGTGTTCCTGGGCCTATTGATTTCTACATTGCAGGTTAAAAGTCTTTTTTTAAGTTAATCCAATCAAGGTTCCTGTGCACATCCTGAAAAGTGAAGCAAAAGCATTTCGATCGCCCCCAGTTGCTGGTTTTGCAGTATTGGTCATAAACGCTTTTCTAATAAGTTTGGTTTTAATGATCAACTTCACACAAACTCAGGTTGCAAATGACATTATCAGTGCAAGATGGTAGCGGGCATCTTGGGACATTTTGGCTTCACTTTCTACAGTGGAAGCAAGGACTTTAGATATACAAAGACAGTGCACTTATGAATGGGAGAAAGTGCAGCAGGCAATATGGGGGAATAGTGTCACACATTCACTAAGCTGCCGTTAGAAGCTGTGGTTGCTATAGAAAGGACTGCACATGTGCTTTGGTTGGCATAGCCTGAAAAAGCTTTTTTAATGCTATTTGAGCACAAAACAAAATTTGACAGTTTTGTCAGATTTCATTGGTGATGAAATTTAATCATATACTTGGTGAATAGCTTTGGTTTTGACATTTCCCCACTACATGACTGAAAAAGCTGCTCAAGAGGCATTTCAAAGATGGCCACCAAGTTGCCTTGACTCTGGTGGAAGGAAGTAGAGATGCCTTGTCTTTTTTTATTTTTTTACAGTCTATAAATCTCACAGCAGTTCATAACTATATCATGTTTTGCCAAATTGGTGGTTAATTTGTAGGAATTTATACAACCCCATCCATGCGTTAATCATACTCATTCAAATTCGTACGAAAAATCGCCATCTTGTAAAACAGTCATGTTTTCTTGTGAGACTGGGTTCTGGGTTGGTTAATTAATCTACAGCTAAAATAGGCTAAAATGTTCAACTTATTTATTTATTTAGTATGTAGCTGTAGTATGTAGCTGTGGTCGTGATACAGGACCTGATCAGATGATCAACCATTATTATTATTTTTCTCAGATAATCACAGGCTGGCTCAAAATATTAAGCTCATCTGTTCTAAACGCGCCTTGGGTGCACGAGCGCATCAATCACCTCTTATGTTACTGGGAGGATCCCAATAAATGACGTTATTGCTGGCGTACGACTGCAGCCTAATTAGGTTTATACTAAATAAATGCACATCCAATGGGCAAACAGTCCAAGCGGATATTATGAGCAGCCAGGGAGATATCAAACCCACTAAATCACTCTTATGATTCAATGCGACATTAGGTTGACACTGAGTTGTTGACTTGCTTGCCTTTTTAATAACACTTTGGCTTCACGATCCAAAAGTTCTGGTTGACCTAACAGTGCTTCACTTCAGAAGATTCTCCTCATTGAAACGGTGCAGGTAAGGTACTTTTGCATTAGATTCGAGGTAATAGTTTACTCAGAAAGAACAATTCTGACATAAATTACACAGAGGTTGTTCCAAACATGTGTGACTTTATTTCTGGAACACGAGAATATTAGAGACTGATAGCTTTTGTCACCATTAGGCTACATTCTTTTCTGTATGCAATTAGTATAGTAGTATACAAAGTGAATAGTGACAGGGTAACACCACCTTATGTGGAAGACTATTTTCACTTTTCGTTGAACATTTACTTCATGTGTAGATGCACAGGACACTTTTTATACAATCTTTCTTACGAAAAGTTTGACTAAAGTAATCATTACGCAGAAAATGTTCATCTAAAAGCCTTGTATGTGTTACCACGCGCCTCCGTTCAACAGGGCAAAACGATGTGGCTCGCGCGGACCCTCCTCGCTCTGGCACTTCTTTGCGCACCGGTTTCCAGCCTCTGCTTACCGACGTACGACCCCGTGTCCAACTTTCTTTGCAACAATGAAGTGTTCTCCGAGACAAATGATAACGGGCAACCAGCAAATTCCCTGCTGGACAGTCTAAACCTCCTGTACAAATCGGCACACGCGCTTTCCTCCGAGGAGCCGCGCGAGAGGAGGACGATACCCGCGTCCAAATACAGATACTTGAGCCAGACGCAGCTCAGGAGTAAACTGTACCGTAACAGTGCGAAGAGCGACCGACGCAGCCAGGTCACTCTATCCCTCGATGTCCCCACCAACATTATGAACATCCTCTTCAACATTGCCAAAGCCAAGAACCTGCGCGCAAAGGCGGACGACAACGCGCGCTTGCTGGCGCAGATTGGAAAGAGAAAGTGAACTCTTGTGTCACTAATTTGACTTGAATATATTTTTTTGTAACCTACTGAGGCATGTTATCTCTAATTTACTAATGTAATAAACGTTTTTTGTTCAGTTGCATAACAAATTAGCAATGCTGAAAATGAATGGAACGTATTAACAGGTGACATAATGGGGTTTGGTTTAAACGCGTTATGGTTTAGTCATGTTAGGCTTGTCACGTTTGTTAGATTTAATGCGGTTTAACAGAAAATTATTTCAAATGGGCTTATTAGCCTACCTACAGTAGTGAGACTCGTATGGCTTGTCAGCAAGATTGTTTGGTCAGTTTCTAAACTCAAGCTACAAAGAGACATAATGATTGGAGTATATCATGTCTCACACCTCTCCCTTTTCATTAACACAATTTGTCTGTACGTCTCAGATGAAAGTTGTCCTGATTAGTGTTAAACAGTTACTGCTCTATAAGATACACGACTGGATGGTTACAGATATGTAAAGCTCTGAAAACTGGGTTGATAAATCCGACAGTTGAATATTTTTGTACTGAAAACAATTATTTTATCGTTTAATAAATAAATAATTGCAAATGTAACAAAGCGTCCATTCGAAGGTAATTGTTTCGAGACATAAGAATCTCTCTCTCTCTCTCTCTCTCTCACTCTCACTCTCTCTCTCTCTCTCTCTCTCTCTCTCTCACTAAACACATCACTCAACTTTTCGCAGCTGCATTCAAGACAGACTAGTCAATGCAATAATTATAGAGAAGTCTACTTCTGTTGCAGACAAATAGTGTTGAATAACAAATATACATTTGATCACTTTTTTTTTTATTCAGATAGACTCAACATTTTGGTGAAGACCGAAATTAGTCCCTCAAAACAAATATTAAAAAGAAAATTATATAGAGATAATTCTAAATAATTTATGATATTACAATTCATTCATAATGTTATATTTCACAAAGTCTTAGCATTTAAATATTGTGTAAATTAAATCTAAATATTTAAAACTATATATATATATATAACCCGACTTTTCAGCATAGACTTTTATTTTGAAGCGTGATCTCGGTGGGCGCCATCTTCACCTCAGCCAGCTCACGACATACGTCACTGTAGTTGACGTGGAGGAAAAGAGCGTGAGTGACTGACTGATCAT